CGTTATTCATCCAAGAGGCAGTTAGCCTTCTGGCGTTGACTAACAAAATGGTTGGTGAGGGCTGAACAAGTAACATGGGCACTGATAACGAAGAAGACTTCGGTGTTGTCAGTGCTGTTACTGCACGTACCAGACACCCGACTCTGCAACACGCGTTAGAGATTTCTATGCCGGAACAATTAATGAGCAATACGTCATTAAATAGTGGTGGCCAGGTTGTTACAGCGGCAGTTGGTCACCCAGACAAGACCATTATCGTCCCGAGTAGTTCTAATGCGAATACTGCGAGCGATGAGAAACCGATAACGCGGAGACACAGAAGACAAGGAAAGATAGTCAAAAATAGCGCCTGTTTATTTGAAAAGTTCTTGGTGAACTCACATTTTGCGTGTCAGATTACTCCGCTGAAGTCCCGAAATAAAACAATATTTAACCCTACTGTAGATGGGAAAACTTTGACCTCATCAAACATTGTTGTAAGTTCTTCGCTTGGGTCCCATTACTCTATTGGAAGGAAAATTGACGGTAAGCTCCCGGCAGTTAACAGGCATGATCTGACATCGCAACTGAAAGCCGTGAATACAACTTTCAAAGGGGTTGAACGCGTTCCTAGTTTAACTATTTAGAATCTAGAGGAGTATAAAGACAATAACCAGGCTAAAAGACATGCACACGATCTGGAGTTGGTGTAACCTGCTGTCAGGAATGTACTGACTGGAGAGGTTCCAGGGATACAAAGCATTAAGTTTTTTCTAGGAAGAATGTGCTCATTCACATCGGACACGGTGATAGTTGCCATTATATTATTGGTAGTACGTCTCTTTTATGGGTTCAGGAAAATAAGGACTTGAGAGTTATAAGAGGTTACGCCCATAGATACTGTCGTTGGTCGCTCAGGTTGACCGTAAGTTGTTGTGTACCACAGGTAAGAATGACTGAGCCATTTGCAGCGCGTAGTTGAAGCATCGTAGCTTGAGACTTACTGTTACCAATAGGTACGACAGAAACTTGGACACGTGTATCTACTAGGTGCCTAGCGTTAATGCGATAATCGTGCATGTAAAATAAATGGCCAACCTGAGGTGAAGGGCCGGCGAGTACGGCTCGGGAGTTTCCCACCTTGTATGAGCAGGGGGCTCGATAATGGCAGGCACTGGCCCCGAAAGTACGGTGGAACCATCACCAACAAGAACTCGCTTCCGAAGCCGCCTTTTGACGTGGCTTGGAAGATGCCCGCTTAGGGCGAGTTGTTAGGGCTTTACGGGAGCGTGAACTGGTTCGGGGGATGTAGGATTCTGGTACATTGGATCGGTCTCCAAAACTGAAACGTGTGTGAATACAGCTATCCCTATCGCCATGAGCCGTATATTAACTAGCATCGAGATCAACGTGTAGTTGTCGTGGGTGCTAGTCTTCGAGTAGAGCCGTAATAGTTGAAAGCATATATGCTGGCAATGATTCGAGCCACAGTTCCTTAACGATCTCAGAATCGGCTGTCGTATTTCCTGCAAGAGATCGCAGAAGCGTGACTTGGTGGCTCGGTTTAGCGTCACCCATTGGGTGACGTACTTATAAAGTCCTCAATCATTCTTACCTTGAAGGGAGGAAATGTCTAAGGATTGCCTCTTTGATAAGATCGTGAATGTTGGGTACTTTTGCATTGAGGACGACCTCACGAACAGCAGCTAAGTGATCATTAGGCAGAGTTTCCAGAGCGCAGACATACTTTTGCCGTTGGTTCGTTATGCGGCGGATCTCGAATTGAGACTCTACTGAAGTTAACCAAACTTCTGGATCTTGGGGGATAAAAGGGAACCGGTCGAAAACTGATTCTTTGTTTTTCTGAGTCTATTATATTAATGCTATTCTTATCGTTATCCACCATATTGAGTTGTTGCCAGAATATTATATATTGAAAAATATCAATATGAACACGTGCAACAAAAGTGGATAGATAGATAATAGACTCACTGTAGTAATCTTCTTTGGAAGGTTTGTCAGAAGCTGAAACGTGTTCGAAAATTTGGCTGACCAGATGTGGATGGCGTCGAGTCGCGATGGACTATGATCACCACTACGATATGATAACTTGCCAGACATCGACTCGGATCCGTCGGTAGAACAGAGACCAGAACGCTGTTAATGTTCCAGATAAGTTATATTTGTTGGCGATCTCTTGATATCGAAAGAATATCGAGACGTGCCAGTATTACAGGCAAAACGGTGGAGCGTAAGCGCGTCCGTGCAAGCAAGATGGACAACGGAAGGAGAATTTTATTTGGTACAGTTAAACAAACAAGTACAGCAAAACAATCACTGGTACAATCGGTTATAATAATAGTTGTTTCCATTAAACTAATCGCGTTCTCGTCATAAAAGTAGGTCACCACAGACCTAAATAAGGCATTTGATAAGGTCTCCTTTACTAGTCTTAAATTAAAACCGGAAACTTTTGGAACTCATTATACGGTCATAGACTGGATAAGTGACTTTGTACATGACAGGAGACAAAGGATAAGAGTATATCATAATGATATACTAGTTCTTCAGGAGGATCTGACTCGACTTCAAAGTTGGGCAGACGACAACGGACTTACCTTCAACACTTCAAAGTGCAAGGTAGTCCATCTGAGACATGTTGCAGACTATAGTTATAACTTAGGTAACTCACCTCTAGAAGTTTCCCAAGTTGAAAAAGATTTAGGAGTGTTGGTACCCCACGACCTGAAATCGTATGTGAACTGTGACAAAAACGCCTCTCAAGCAAACCTTGCACTGGTAACATTGAAGCGCATTTTTGGCCAGTTTGACGGAAGAACCTTCCACATAATCTTCAACAGTTTTATTCGTCCCCACTTAGAGTACGGAAATATAGTATTTCCTCCCTCCCTCCAAAAGGATAAGGACACTCTGGAACGTATACAACGTGGAGCCACGAAATCAGTTCGGGGTCTCAAATTCAAACCTTATGAAGAGCGCCTCAAATCACTTAACCTTTACCCGTTAGAGTATAGGCGTCTTAGAGGTGATCTTCTTATGACTTATAGTATCCTTAATACTTCTGGTCATCCCCTTAAACAACTTCTTAAGCTTAGTCATAACACTAACCTGAGAGGTAACACCCAGAAATTGGGACCCTATATAGCAGAACAGACTGCAGACACAACTTCTACTCCGTTAGAGTTGTCAAGTGCTGAAATTCGCTGCCGACTGAGCTAGTCCAAGCGACCTCCCAGGTGTCCTTTAAGAGGAAACTTGACTTATTCTTAAGGACTAAGGATAACATATTATTATGATTTACCAAACTCTTTTTTTTTCTCTATTATCGTTCATATACCTAGGTTCATACCTGGAGGTATTGGTGATCCACTGCTACCAGACACGGAAGCCCGTTAAGCGAAAGCTTCTTCTATTCCGTCCTCAACCGTTTCAACCATTTCAAATGGAGCTCCCTCATCTAGGGAATCTGTAAAAAGTGGAGTTCCCCAAGGCAAAATCCCCGGTCCTCTTCTCTTTTCACTTAATGTAAATGAGTTAACAGCTGTAGCTAAATCATCCGCTCTACACTTTGCCGATGACATAAAGGTTTGGAGACCCATATACAGTATGTCAGATAAAATAGTATGATAGGTTGATCTCAACTAATTAATGGAACGGATAAACAGGTAGCCACTAGAAGTGATTTCTAACAACATTGTGGTGATGCAACTAAATAACTATGATGATTCATATTACTAGACAATATGTGAATTTGTGCCACCCAAAGTAAGAAATTATAAAGATATAGGAATCATACTAAACAATGATCCCAAGGTCGTTGAAACGGAACGGCGGGCGCCTTTGAAAGGCTCTGACTACCGGTGGGTACGTCGCCTTATTCATACTTTGCAACTACTGGCTAACTTAGACCAAGTGCTTCTCTATATATCGATAGCTTTCCTTACATTTCTTCGAACCCCTCCATTTCCGACCTCTGATTCGACCGGGTTGGTATCCTTCGATTATAAATGTGTTACTGGTAAAGGCGTCGTCTAAATCCAAGTCCCTGTCATCCATATTTTAAGCAAACTAGTGAGGAGTTTGCGAATCACCTCAAAAGACTCTCATGTTTCGGTGCCACGAGTTTGCGCACCATATGGTGCGCAACCTGAACATATGTTTTCACAATCAAATCCTGCAAACGTCTGAATGAATTTGACTTGGAATATTTCATCCATCCATCGTCGTAAATTCTTGATAAGCAAATCACTGTAGACTGACACAAATTCAATTTCACCAAGTAGATGTCTTGTGCCGTATCCTTGCACAGTCTTCAACTATGTCATGAACATTTGCGGTCAACTCTCTGATCTCCTAAGGTTACCAGAGAGAAGGAAAAGTCTAAATAGTTCCTGTTGCACATGGTTCTCATCTTTATGTATGATGCTGATCTATGCACCTTATTAATAAGACATCATCTGCTCTTTCTTTTACGGCTCTTTTCAAATGACACTGGCAATTGCAATTAAAATATAACGATTGATGCTCTAACATCTGCCAAGTATTCATAACGTACAACAACATGCTTTTTGTCTTCAATAAATTTTCTGAACATATACCATATTTTACGCACATTTCAGTTTTTATGTGGTGTGTTGTGGAAATGAAGGCGAACACAAATGTTCGGTGTTTTAAGAGTGGATGCAAAATTACATAAATCGGTGTGTATATAGGCGAAAAGTAGACAGTTAAGTGACACTAGGAACGCAGAGCGACATAAAGGGGAAAGTCTGCATCAATTCCTCCGGACGGAGGAAAAAGCAGACATTTTGGCGCATTTCCCCCTTTATTGGTTGCTTGGGTATGGATTGCTTTTGTTAGTTCAGTTTTGTATCTCCAATTTAAGTCTTCCTGTTCTTCTCTTGCAGATAACTGGAAGTTCATTAGTCCTGACATAACCGTCAGTGAATATCTGAAATACTTATACCGTATTTGGACTGCCTAATTGCATTTTGAAGAACATGGTCGAGAATGGTACGTAAAAGTGTTTCTGCTTTGGTATTATGTTGACGTGATTAAATAATTTACCCTTGCAAAGTATTTAAGACATTGCTTTCACCAATTTAGTATCTGGATTCTAGCCCGAATACTGTTTCTAATGAATATTTAATCGTAGTCCCCTGACGAGGTTAGGTATACGAACTCTCCCCTTACCCTACATAGTTTTCTATACTTTAAGGCAGCAAACAATCTTATCATGATGTATGTGTATGTTTTCGTATTCTCAAGAGAAAAAAACTTCAAAGTGTTGCTTGTAAGGTTATACACATCCTTTAACCCTTACTATATGCTAGCCTTTATGTTTACAAATTGGAAAATTTCCAAGGAACTGCATACTCTTAGTGAGGATCCACGAGTTCAATAATCAACTACTAAGGCACTTCCATTCAGAGCGTTGGTTGTGAGTGGGAAGCTATACTAATCATATCAATATCTAAAATAATTTCTATTAACTTTAATCACTGGCCCTAAAATATTGTCTCAAACGTAAATTATACTTCTTATTTTGTCAACACTAAGCGATACTTGTCGAAGCCGGAACTCGTGTAGATCCTCGAGACTTATTATTCCTGATTCAATCATCGGATTGATCAGTTTCCAGATTGATAGTTAATACTGACATTTAGTGTTCCAGTACCCCATATATACAAAGGGATATATTTCCAATCCACTAGTTGTCTGTTATTTTAATTAGCGTCAAATTATAAGGTTCGAAATCCGCAATGGCAAAAATACGTTTTACCTTTGCTACTCTACAATCTCATATTTCGAGGAGTAGGACGACGATCGCCTTTCTATGCGTTTTGTACAGTGGTTGTTGGATAGTGCTTCATTCCCTTTATTGATATAAGTACTTTGCACGGGACCCTATTGTAAGTTGTTTAACATGAGCTTGTTCTTAACTAATCCTAGATGTATACCTCTGAAATTTACTAGGGGTGTCGGCGAAACTGAATTGTGTTAACTTTTCGAACGCGCTAAAACTTCTAAAATCAGTAAGTCAGTGTTTTCGTCTCGCCTATCCCCCAAGTTGCTAATTTCAAGGGTTAAAAGGTTTGTAGTTTTGATAAACCCAAACCTTCATTTGTGGAATGGCTTAGTGTGACTACCGAGATTTCAATTTCATACCTACATGTAATTTAGTAAATATACCGGGTGTAACCTTCAAGAGCTCAGATTTTCCCTTCATGAAGTATCAGTTTGGGAGTATTTTAGTTTTCACATCAACGAATGGTAAACAAATTGCTTCTTAACTTCTGTGGTCACTTTTACGCATTGTTTTCTACATATTTATTTTGATTGTCACCAGAACTAAAAAACCTCACTTTAAATGGAAACCAAAAACGTAGCAATTATATATCATGGGATGAATATTTCATGTCTATAGCACTATTGTCTGCCATGCGCAGTAAAGACCCTTCAACTCAAGTAAGTGTTCTCTTAGATACTTTGTAGTTCTCTGTTGCTGTGCATGTAAACATTATTACTTCTCATATTGCAAATAGATATGTAAAGTTTCAATTCTCAAGGATAATAATGGGAACTGAATAAATCTTGGCTATGGTCAACCACAAACAACATTTGCATCGACACAGGTTGCTGTATTCCACAGTAGCAAAGCTTAAAAAAGTCAGATGAAAAGCAGAGGATTCGAAGTACAATCACTTGTGATGGACAACCAAGTGTAATTCCGAAAGAATAAGTGAAATCGGATAGTGAAATGCATTAAATAAGACTTCAGGATCTCTTGAAAGATAAGGAATAGGTGTGTCAGTTATTTCTGGACAGTTTTCAAGTGATATCTACAAACTACAGTTAATGTGTGGTAGCTTGGCATGGGTAATATGTGTTCCAATATACTTAATTGACGACGGTTTATAACCTCTTCAGTTGATTTATCATCTCAACCTTACTCACTCTGTAGTCCTACTATATGTAAAAGGTAAACCAGAGGTGTCTATAATCGAATAATGACAGTCTATATTTACTGAAGTAAAGGATAAAAGACCATTTGTTGGAAACAATCTTTACGTAATGTGCTAATATAGTGTTTGTTTGAACATTGCCATAGAACCATCTCAACTCTGTTGTTGTTTTCTTACAATTGAATGGTTTACTTGTAAAGACTGCGAATTCCCTTGGGTGTTTCACGTGTTGTTATAAAAAGCTGACTGATAACTCAATGGATATTTATACCACTGACTTACTAGACAGGCAGGTAAATCCCGAGAGTCCCTCAAAATCTTGTCTGTTATCCACATTCTAACACGAATTCCCAGAAGATTGATTATCATAAAACACTATCCTGGAAATATATTTTTCACTGTGTTGCTCCCTTTTTTATTATGTCTACCAACCTTGTAGGTTAACATCACACTAGGATTCGAACGTAAAATAAATCTATGTTCGTAATAATTCGGATTAAGTAAAGAATGACTGTTTTCAATAAATAGTTATTATCGTCAGCTTTCGTACACAATCGACACGATTTCAGATTTATTTTACTCAAGTATTGTTATGATCACTAAGTTACATTATTTCTTGTTTGTTTTTTTAATTTGTAATCTTCATTTTCCTTTTTTTTCAAACTTAGGTTGGCGCTTGTATAGTTAACCAAGAAAAGAAAATTGTTGGAATAGGATATAATGGGATGCCCAACGGTATTTTGGATGATGATGTCCCTTGGGGAAAAGGATCAGCAAATGAACTTGAAAATAAGTATCTTTATGGTATGCTGTTTAATGTCTGTTAACGTTTTTTTATTAAAGAAATTTGTAGTTTGTCATGCAGAGTTGAACGCAGTACTGAATCGTAATGAGGCTCATTCTGGAGGTTGTACACTATTCACGACCATGTTCCCATGTAATGAATGCGCTAAAGTGATTATACAGGCTGGGATTAAAGAAGTAGTGTATTATTCGGATAAGAAGAATGGAACAAAATCGAATCAAGCAGCTAAATATTTATTTAATAAAGCTGATGTCAGCATAAGGTATGATTTCATGTTTCTCATTCTTGTGTATTTTCATAGAAAATTCACTCCAACAAACCGAACTATCAATATTAACCTTGATTAACTGAGGATCTTGATACAAAAAACGGATAACTTACACCGGAATGTTACTTTTTGTATTTATATTTTAGTTTAATTCAATAAATATTGATCAACTGAGTATTTATATAAACGGTTTCCTTAGAATTATGCTCAATATGAGGATTGTTGAATAATAACTTAGTAGAAGGATGCTACCAGGTAATTGAAACAAAATCTATACGGCTTCCAATGACAATGCCGTTCTTTACATTAAGCAAAGCTGTACGATTCCATAAAACAAAGGCTTCATTAACGTAGTCAACCAGGTAAAACTGGATCCAGTTTTATTTACGTTTATTTGTATGGTGGCGACAGATTTGGTATTTTTCGTTATTTTATCTAAAACACAAGAATCAAGTCTATTAAATAGATGGACCGTGTTTGTTACTGTTTTTCAAACAAGAACAAGACGAAGTACTGCTTTCTTGACTAAGATGCGCAGTTGTACAGCAGATATTAAAATAAACAACCCAAATGCCTTAGAAATTAAGTATCTTACTTAGGTCACTTTTGATGTTCTTGAATAACCTTGATAGTTGCGATCTATGTAGGATTCACTGAAACTACTTTAAAATCTCTAGATTTATGAGAATAACGCATCTTCAATCTGGTGCTTCTTAGTGTGTTAGTGGACATCTCTTCATCTACCATTCAGCATGGTTCGAAAAAGTAAACACGTTTTGCAATCCAACTGACCCATAAAATTATCTGCGTGTTTGACCTTAAGAAGCCAGTAGTTAGTATAATTTAACTCAACAAACCTGGTCAGGTTTGTCTGTTACGTTAGACCTAACACTACCAACCGACAGGTAATCAGGGCAGAATTTAAGTCTATAACACATTGGAAGTCAAACGCCTAAATGATAGACATACTTTTAACATCTCAACACACACGGTTTATCCCAGGACTAAATCGGGAGTCTCCAAGTCTATTTCTATCTTATTAGATATTTTAACTTCCTTTCTCCGTAATATTGTGACTAAAATCTGATATATTAGCTGAATATTTATCCTTTTTTCGAAGCATTTCTAATAGTCAACACTCCTTACAAGGATACTACAGGCGCGAGGAAACCAAGCAGTGCATTAGAAATTAATAATAAATTATGTAGATGTTTCGTTAACCCTAGTAAAAAATACTTCGGAGTTATTATCTAATGAGAATATTCAACAATGAAAGGCAGTTAGATTCAAGAAGTATTATATTGATCTTAGAATAGGAGTCAATTAAATATACAGATCAGAAAAATAGTAAAACCAACTATGAACGTTTACAAAGCTTCATGAGATTGAGAAGAACAGTTTCGTATTAGAAAATTATGTAGATTGTTTATTCGATCAGTCACTTCTGGTATGGACAACAACTGAATAAGTTCGACCACAGGTGGCCCCACCTGAATATTCAGAGGTAATAATGTACATTGTGAACCAATGGCAATTGCTAGAAATTTTATACGTTGGAATGATCTAGGGCAAACATTGTTACTCACCAAACTCAACTGCGTGTCGTTCATTGACATATTAATTTCTTATTGCTAATGTCAAACCTCTCGCAATGATAATAAATTGATAGTGCCAACTATCGGTGGGTCGTGTGATATTCTGGTACCTCTCTTAGGACAAAACAATAAGTTGATATATGCGACATAATTCACAGATTAATACACTAAGTAGGTCGTAAAATTTGTTTTTTAAACACCAGATTGAAACTACTCGACCATTTCATCACCTAATGAATTCGGTCACTTCAATTACCGTTTCATGCCTTTGGTTACCACTATATTTCAATCAAATTTTAGACTACTGACTCATCGGTAAATAAGTGGGCAAAAACTTCTAAGAAAGTTCCTAATAGCGTATACATAGAGTTACATAAAAGATAGTAACTATACTTTAAGGTGAAGAATATTATGTTCGTATCCCGAAAAACAGTGCATATAATTTCGAATGATAAGTATTATGGGTGGAAAACTAATGCACTTCCAGTATTACATTGCTCGCTAGCAGTAAAAAGTTGGCTTTTTTACAGAAAATTTCTCTGAATCATTTAAGCACTTACCTCGAATCCTGTAAGGCCTAATCTGATTAGGTGCAATACAGTTTTACGTTCAACTCCTGAACGTTTGCAGACATTCTGAAGGGAACTTGTTATCACATCGGAGTTTAAATCTATGCTGTCATCCACTTGTTCTTTTTTAAGAATATGATTCATTTCTTCAATAAAAAATCCAAACAATCTGAGTATATCTTGTAAAGGTATTTTGAAAAAACGTTTATTGATCACCTCTTCACAAGTAGGTAAATCTGGAGACTTCCACATAAATAAGAAACCATTATTGGGGTCGACTAAATCATCTAAACAGTGAACGCGACATTTCAAGAGATGCAGTCGTTTCAACACATGTAAATCATTTTGAGCAGATTGACTACAAATATAAATATTAAGGCAAAAAGAGTAATCTGTACAATAGGAAGGAACAATACTTATCCACACGTGAAACTGCTTAGAAAATTGTATTTAAAATGTGCGAAAATTAGGTGAGTAGACCATACTCTACACCACTCTTTCAAGTCTATAATGGTTTCTAAGTGAACTGAACTCCAGAGTTCGTCTGTTGAAAACCATTGAGAATGATACAATTAAGCGTTGTTGCTACCATATACTGGCATGATAAATGACTGTATACAATTGACTCCCTAGTTCCGTTGATATCACCCTACATCTAGGTGGTATTTCTAATGATTCAAACGCCTTTCACAATTCATTGAATTTCTTTTTTCCCTGTATGATTAATGTATACGTTTATCTTACGAGTCATTAACAATATATTACACTTAATTTTTCATTGTATTCAGCCTGTCTTAGATGACTTCTATTTATTCTGTCCTCCATGCACGACTTTGCACTGTAGTCCGTTGTATGAGTTCCGGATAATGTTGGCAATCTTCTCAGGAACTCCATAGTGTCGAATAAGTTATCATAATGTTCTCCGGTTCACACTGTCAAACGCCTCATAGTCAATGAAGTTGATGTATAACGGGTTGCGTAAGCTAGCTGGACATAAAGCATAAATGTTTTGCTAACGACTGGTGACGGAGTCTAGGTTTGTGCTTTACATTTCTGATAATCAGATGACTATGTTTACTACCCTACTTAAACTAGAATCCAGCAGTCGCATCACTTTACAATTACCCACAAGTATTAAGTGAAAGCACAGTGACTAAACATTCCTCCTACTTTTGCCTGTCGAAAAAATACCCAAAATAACAAATGGTTAAAAAAATTTAATGAAATCACTTGAGCTAAAATATAATTACGACATTAAACATTATGATACCGTGCATCTTACCTTTCACGAATAGACAGGTTTTCTACATTTGATTGCAGATATTCTTCAATTGTTTCTAGTATTTGCGGAGTATTATAGGTAGTCTGATTACTTTGCTTTTGATGCATTATACAATAATCCAATGCATTGTTTACAGCTTTATCAAAATGAAATTGACCGCATATTTTTAACATATCTATTGATAAATGAGCGTTATGACGATTGATATTGCTTAAGTCGAACTATATGGAATAATTAAATGGTACATTTCAAGCTAGTTCATATAAAACCAAAAATATAGTGTATTAAAATTTATTGCATTCTATGAGTCAGTCAGTCAGTCAGTCAGCTACAACGTAGGACCAGGCACATTTATGCATCGGTCCAAGTTGCCATACCTCTTTAGCACAACAAGATGAACACCGGGTTCATAGAAGTAATTAATTTAGTGGTGGTAGTAGTATATAAATTATAGGTTGTATATAAGGATATAGTACAGGAAGGAGGAGAGATATGAAGCAATTTTAGTCTCAAGGTTTAAAGGAAGATAAAGAGTGTATACACCTACGCCATTGTGATCGACTCTGAGCCATGTCACACAGAGTCTCCAACCATTGGTTACGTTAGTCACGCGGACCCCAACCAGGTAGTCTGCATCTGCCAACATGGCTCAGACTAGAAGTTAGTGACTTCAAACACTGATGCCATGTTTTGGTTTGGCCGCCCCTAACTCTCTTCCAACAATCCCCTACACTAGTCATCATAGCGCGTCGTGGTAATCGGTGTTCAGGCATACGTAACACATGGCCCAACCATCTCAGTCGATGAAGATTCATCACCTCATCAACTGATTTACCATCGTTCCCTAATACCCTGAGTCTAACCTCACTATTACTTACCCGGTGATCCCAGCAGATGCGTGCAATATTTCTAAGGCATCTGTGGTCAAATACTAGTAACCTACGAGTATCTTCTACTCTTAATGGCCATGTTTCACAACCGTAAAGTAGAACAGAGCGAACTGCTGCGCAGTATACTCGTCCTTTAATTGATAGACGGATATCTCGTCTTCGCCATAGGTGACGTAAGTTGGCAAAAGCCAAACGAGCTTTTCGAATCCGTGCTGAGATTTCGTCAGACACCAATCCATTAGGGCTGATCAGACTTCCAAGATAAGTGAAGTTGTCAACGCGTTCGACTACTTCACTCCCTATCCTTAGTTCAGGTGTTGATGCAGGCCAGTCCTGGAGTAACAATTTACATTTGGATGGGGAGAATCGCATCCCAAACATCCTGGCATTATTACTGAATTCCAACAGAAGACTCTGCATTTTGCCAGCGTCTTCACCAAACAGGACTATGTCATCTGCGTATTCTAAGTCGCTTAGTGGTCCCCCTGGTAGGAGATCAATTCCTGTAAATTCAGTCGAAGAGAGTGTTATTTCCAGCAACAGGTCTATAATGAAGTTAAACAAAAATGGGGATAGTGGACAGCCTTGACGGACACCACTTGAGGTTGTAAAATCATATGACGGTTCGCCAAAAGCTCTCACTCGACTGGTAGTGTTCGAGTAAAGAGCCTTCACAAGGTTTATGTACTTCTCAGGTACACCTTTCAATGACAGACACTGCCACAGAACCTCTCGGTCTACAGAGTCAAATGCTGCTTTCAAGTCAAGAAAAACTATCATTGTCGGACGCCGATAAGCGTGTCTGTGATCTAAAACTTGACGAATGGTGAATATGTGGTCGATACAGCCACGACCAGGTCTGAAGCCAGCCTGATTTTCTCGTGTTTGCAGTTCACGAGTCTTAGTTAGGCGCCCGATAATTATTGAGGCTAGTATTTTAGATGCTATGTTGGTCAGACTAATCCCTCTATGGTTATCGCAGGATGATTTTGACCCCTTTTTATATATTGGGACAATCAGTGATTGTGACCAGTCGGATGGGATTACATCCGTCTCCCAGATTTTAGCCAGAATATTAGTCAACCTAATCGCTAAAATCGGACCACCATATTTAAAGACCTCTGGAGCCAATCCATCTGGACCAGCTGCTCTTCCTCGTTTCAGATTACCTATAGCCTTTTGAACTTCAAGTAGGGTCGGGGGGCCTACTTCAATGTTCCATTCAGGTTTTCTAGGAATAGTGGGTAGTTGTGCAGTAGCTGAAGGCCAGCTAAACTGCTCCTTAAAGTGTTCCGCCCATCGTTCTAAACGTTTGGGTTGAGAGCAGATAAGGGTTCCGTCTTTTTCGGAGATTGTCTCACTTACACTTGACTTCTTAATTCCGGTTTCTTTTATTAGTCTGAATAGTTGCCTGGTGTTCCCTACAGCCGCTGCCTTTTCCATCTCTTTTGCTTTCGTTGCCCACCACTGCTCACGATCGTTCCTTAGACTTTTAGTTAACCTAGATCTAATCTGTTTACGCTCTTCGTCATGTTCAGAGCCCGATGGGATGAGTTTACGCGAATCCATCAGTGAAATAGACTTAGAAGAAATCCATTGGTTTTTTGGAGCCCTATGGTTTAAATGACTAATAGATGTAACTGCTGTTTCCACAGCTGTTCGTATGTCTTTCCAAGCAGCATCTGTGTCAGTCTTGTTTACAGAACTGCCTAGATGTGAACTCAGTTGTTTCTGGAATTCGCATTTGGCTTTCTCGTCCTCCAGTTCAATCCTAATGGGTCTTCTTAGTGTACTTTTCCTGCGTCCATTGAGGCGCAGACAAATGCGCGCTCGTATTAAAGCGTGATCAGAGTCTAAACAAGTATTCCAATACGAGCGACAATCTTCTATTGAGCCTCTCCAACGATGACTGATGACAATATGGTCTATTTGAGTCCATCGTTGGTTTGGTGCAGGTGGTCGCCATGTTAGACGATGTCTCTCCTTATGTTTAAAATTAGTGCTTGCTAAAAATAAACGATTGTCTGAGCATAGTTGCAACAGACGATCACCATTATCGGTTCGTTGAGCCGGAATACTAAAACACCCACCTAAATGTCTTTCTGTTTGATTCAAGCTGCCTACCTGGGCATTAAAGTCACCCGCTATGAGTACTATGTCTGAGCGCTTAGCTTTCTGAAGAAGCTCAGAGAGCTTTCTGTAAAAGTCATCTTTCATTTCATCATGGCTGCAGTCGGTGGGAGCGTAAGTAGAAACGACGTGTGTCCCTATCCTTCCGAGTTCTTACGGAGCCATTCAGCCGGACAGCACACAGGCGACTGTTAACGGGGATCCATTCTAATAGTGCCTGTTCTGCCCTTGTAATTAGTGCTATGCCTACACCGGCAAGTCCACGAGAACTAGCCAACGGGTCGCCAGATACACGGAGGGTGTATTTCGTTGGCTGTCCATTTTGGTGAGGTGAGGTCAAGTGAATGACCACACTGGGATCCTGTATGCGTGTTTCGGAGACACAGCATACATCAATGGTACGAGATTCTAGGGTTTTAGCTAAGGAGGCCTGTTGACCGATTTGGCATAGGGTACGTACGTTGAAGGCTCCAATGTGTAGTTTGGAGCAAGGTTTAAGTAGACCTGGGACAGCGTTTCGCGCACTAGAATCGTTGGCCATGGTGACACTTGAGGAGGAAACCGGAACAGGAAGTTTAGTGTTGAAAATCAAGGTAGAAGGAATAGTAGGAATTGAAGGAGATTGATTATGAATACGGTGGTCTTGAGTGCTGTTAGAGGTATGAGGGCAGTTATCACTTCCCGGTTGCCCACACCGTGGAAGGGTTCTCCTGGGGGTACCTGAAAAGGAAATTGGGTTAGAAGTGGTCTTAATGACCTGAGAGCGTGACCGCAGTGCCCAAGGGACAACTGCTTGAGGTCGGTCACACACGACCTTTTTGTGGGTAGTTTTTGTGTTAGCTCCGTTCTTCAAAAAAAACCTTACCGCCGGAGACGGATATCCGTGGGATAAGGCGAGGTGTGCATTTTTAGGACCGACCTACTCTAACCCCACCCCTCCTTGTGGGAAGGCAGCATCGCTGTCATGCTGGTTGTCTGAAGGAAACACCTTACTGCCGTCACACCTCTGTACAGTCGACAGTACGACTTCGGACCTTGGGTTTGCTGCTTTTAGTCTCACCGTTCTTCAACCGACCTGTCTGGCATGGTAGGACCTTGAGGAACGATTGTTCCAGCCAGCATAGCTCGATTGCTTCATCACGATAGGCAAGCCCGACCACCACGTCAAGGTAGCAGCAACGGTCGGGTGCATTCTATGAAATGAAGTTTAATGTGTTTTATTGAACTTCAGAATACATTTGCAGTATATGAGATGTTCCCATATTTTAGTGAATGGTGCTTTTGCTGAAAAACCAACCTAACAGTGCTACTCGGATAAAGAATACAAATACTTTTGCTACAATAAATAAACATTGATTTTATCAGGTGATTGGGGATGATCCAAGAAAATGTGCTGGTTTTCTCTGACTTCCGTATAAAATATGGAAGATATGGGTACTTTTCTGGTTTTATTTGACAACGTAACTCACCAAGCACAAATATGTGTACTCGGCTTTGAGACATACCAGTCCTAACTAATTTAGTTAGATTTAACTTCAGAGTGTTTCGTCTATAATTTTACTCGTTTGCTTTTGAAATGCAAAACTACGCGCTGTTTGTCGATGGATTACTTAAAAGAAATTGTCTTCTTCGGAGCATTGCCTCAATAGTTCAAGACATTCGGTAGTCTATATTGAAACAAAAATCTTTCACTTTCTATAACTGCTGCACAAACGCTTGGCAAATCTGCCTCCTAATACTGCTCATCATTTATTGTGATCGGAAAAGCCAGTGTGATCCACAAATCAGGGGTATTTTGTGATAGATTATCGATCGTATTTATAAACATTTAAAAGCCAAAGTAAATGAATTTCATGATAAGGCTTGTAAAATATCCGACTGACGATCCCCTAGCTTTCAAATAGTCAAAAAGTATCTTGCAAACTTATCAAGAAAGATGTTTTAGCCCCCCTGACAAAACATCAAAGTGTGTTTGGGGTGGTGCTTTGGCGTGCGTAAACAAGTAGGACTGATATATTTAAAGTTGCGAATTTCAGTTTTTAGCGTTGTTCAACCGGAATGACAGATAAAAAGCGGAAGATATCATAGGAGTTTAGGAAATTAAGATCAAGCATATAGAACCAGAAAAGAACCCATCTATAAAATTTAACTTACTCGAGAAACTAATTCAGAGAATTCAAAATCAGGCCTCCACTCATATGAAAAGTTACCTTTTTCGTTAAAATTATCGTGACAGACACCACCTCCAGTGGCTGTTAACCAATTCAATACAGCAGACGGCATATACCCAGCTTTACGCAAACTGTGAACACTACCGATAAGAGAGAATTCTGGACTACGTTTAGACAGTTTACCACCTGAACTAAATTGGTATGACAGAAAATAGAAATGTTTATACACTATATAATCATTCAAATTAACTCGACAAATAGCATGTACTAATTTTGACCGTTTTGTGAGCTACACTTAAGTTATTTACTAGTTTGTATTTTACGACCGGAGCAATAGCTTAAAGGTGGAACTCAACTGCACGAATCGAAATAGATGAAATGATTCAGAACACATGATTACAGATATGTTCAAAATTACTAAAATCCATAAATTATGATCTGACGAATGCATACATAGTGATTGCCTGCTCAAAGTCTTAAGCAACTAAAAAATGTTTATCACTAACCTGGAAAGCAACAGAGGGAGATGTGCATACTTTGGAGGCGACCAATTTAAAGCTTTGTATAGCATCAAATGCTTAGGCGTGGAAGTAAGCCATTCCTATATTTAAGGGCAAGGATATATAAAAAATTAAAGATATTTTGGGTAGAGATCTAAATGACATTAAATTAGCATACTATAAATTTATATGAGTATTTACATCACCTAGATTTAACCAAGAGAAGATTATTGAATTCACTTGAGCGTTTGATGGCCCTTTCATGATAGGACAGCGAAACTAAATATTGGAAAGCTGTGGAGATAGATGAGTTAATACCAGGAAGATGGATAGTCGATAATAGTAAGTAATGGTAAACTCTGTCGAAAAGACTTCAGGCAGCGCAGAACTTGAAAAATAATGAGTCAGATTTTATATGAGAGGACTGATACTTGAACAATGTCTCAAAACGTACAACGAAGTGGTCAAGTAGTCATTCATTAAATATATATTAAAGGCTTCGCTTTCACAGTGTCAAACTAGTTAGAAAAGAAAAATAGCTGTAAAAGTTTCCATAATGGTGACTCCAGAATGGCATTAATTAATGACTTAATCGATAATATGTATAAGGGAAATATGGCCCTCAAGAATGCGGGGATCGATATGGTAGATGAATCACTAGTAAACGCTGATAGATGATTCCACAACTATCCTCCACTATATCAACTTGTCAACAAATATTAGGCTTCAATTCATTCTTTTAAACTTCTATTTAAAAGTTATTATACATTCAATCAGAGAATAAACTAATTAACAACTTCACTGATAAGATGTGGGTTGAATGGAGTGCGGCATTTTAAGCCGTTTGGATCACGATTAAATCGATCACACTCAACTAGTAAACTTTTCATTTACTTCAATTTTAATTTTGTTAAAACTTAATATATAGTTCTTTATTTCCGAAAATAAAATCATTGCCCATAACGAAAGGTCATATATTAAATATTGTATCTAGAATATCTGATAAACACTATTGTAACACTTAGTATTAGCAATCTCTTCAGGCTGCTTTATCCTTTCCATCCGTTAACTGCGTATTTGTTGATTTGGTTATCTTATGATTCATTGCGTATTTAATTAGATATTGACAGGGCGCTAACTAAAAAACGGACAATATTTTAGTGTGACTCAGCGACACTCAGAGTTACAACAACAATCGAACTGTTCGTAAAACATCCTCGTAAAAAATAAAGATTGATCTTTTGCGAGGAAGCCTTTAATATCCCAATAAAAATCCGTATTCTTGTACAATAGATGTGTTATACAGACAGTTTCTGAACGGAAAAACATAATATAGTGGAAATAGAAGACAAGGAAAAGGCGAATGTCATTACAGGGATACTGACTTCAGGTTAATAAAAGATATTCTAAGAACAAAAGGCAGGAATAAATTTTTAAACCTGAAAAACATTTTTAGGTTATTCAAAACAGTTTAGTAAGCTCTACCGCTTGTATTCGACGAACAATTAAAGTATGAAAAATTGGAGATGCAAAGTAAACACCAAAAGACGCTTATTGAAAAAGAAACATCGTTTCAAAAGTTACAAATTTAATGAAATAGAGTTAAGAGAGTGATAAATGTTTTCAAGAATGTAAAAATAACTTGACATCTGCCTGTAGCTCTTCTAGGGTTACCGTTGGTCTCAAGACAAGGGAAAGAAGGAGGGTTGGGTATGGCGTCAGCAAACCCATGCCGTAGAAAACAACACTAATTAAAAACACTAACCAGGATCAAAAAATTAAACCATTCGGACTCTCTCCTGAGAGCTTAAGGATCTTCATTCAGAACATGGTGAAAGCTCATATTCTCCGGAAGTCAAGAGGCCAACGCCCCTTCTAACAATCAGAGAAACAACAAATATAGGTACATGGAATGTCCAGACAATATAGGAGAGACTGGGAGGACCAATCAAATAGCTACGAAAATAGGGAGATACAAATTGATGGTGCTCGGAACCAGTGAAACTCATTGGATACAAGCTGGACAGAAAAGATTAACTGCGGGAGAGAGTCTGTTGTCTTCTGAACATAAAGAAGATGCTTGACACATACAGAGAGTTGCACTGATGCTGTCCAAAAAACATGTAAAGCACTTATACGACGGTAATATCATGGTTCCAGGAACAAAACAGAACCCTTCAAAACAAAGGAGGGAATTACAATGAATATCGTCCGGTGTCATGCTCCCACCAATGATAACAATGAAGAGGATAAACATCAGTTTTACGAGAGGCTGCAACCAGTCACAGCGAAGTGATCAGGAAACGACCTGACCATCCTGATGGGAGACCTAAATGCTAAAGTCAGAATGGACAACACCGCATATGGAGATATCATGGGACGACATGGACTGGGGACCGGAATAAAGGAACGAGAATGGTGACAGATTTGCAAAATTTATGTACATTCAACCAAATGGTTATAAGCGGAACAATATTCCTACACAAACGCATACATAAGGCTATGTAGGTCTCATCGGATAACACTACACAGAACCAGATCGATCACATTTGCATCACTAAAATATTCACAAGGTCAGTGGAAGATGTGAGAACAAAGGGAGGAGCTGAAAAAGCTTCGGATCACCACCAACTAGTGGTTACCAAGATGAAACTGAAGCTAAAGAAGCACTGGACAGCTGAGGAAACAGCATTACAAAGGTCCAACACAGCCTTCCTTTGACATATTAACAAACTCAAAGAATTCATCATAGTGTTATATCCTAGTGAAGACGTAAGTACAGGTAACTTTCGGGACCTATTAATGGACTATCATTTTATATATATTCTTATTGTTTAACTATTGAGTTGTTAGATTGTGTATATCTATATTCATCTTATTATAGGCTTCATTTTGACCTATGGATTATTATCATACGAATTACTGTCCCTAAATTATATTCAGTTTATTGATTATTGTATCTTGCGGTCACAGCCACATTTGGCTTGATCTTGTACAAATATTATTTTCTATTTTATGGTGTGATGCGGTCTGTCTGTCTGGTATATAAACCGAGTATGCTTGAAATAAATGATTCGCATAGCAGAAGCTGCAATTGGTGTTCTGGACTCAATTGGAAGAGTTAGGCGGATAAGGGACCAATAAGGACGATAGACTGCCCATACTGGTCGAATGTCATTGATTTGGCAGTGTTAAGATTAGACAAGTCGTATCTCTATTGGTGAATAATTCACGTGATAAAAAGCCGGACATAAAATCATAACGAATTGGCAACGGCCTTCCTATAAATTCGTAACACATAGCTCTCAACAACAGGTCCCAAGCCTTAGAAGATCTACTGGAAGAAGAGGGAAATACTATGGAGGACAACTGGAAAGAGATGAAACAAGTACTAGCTTCAACGTCTTAGGAAATGCTGGGCCTCAACAAGCATCAAGATCATAAGGAATGGGTAAGAGAAGTCCGCTTACTCTCACAATTTCTCTTTCCTCTGGTGATTAACTGAATTATGAAGACCTCCACATCTGACGGAAAGTATGGAATGCAATGGACAGCTCAGAATCAATTAGATGATTTGGACTTCGCAGCTGAACTAGCCATCCTATCCCATACGCACGAACAAATGCAGATGAAGACAACTAGTGTAGCAGCAGTCCCTGCATCAGTAGGCCTCAACATACATAAGAGAATAACCGAGATCCTCAAATACAACATGGAGGATACCAATCCAATCACACTTAACGAGGAAACTCTGGAAGAAGTGGAAACTTTCACGTGCCTGGGCGGCATGATCAATGAACAAGGAGGATCGGATGCAGATATAAAGGCAAGGATTGGCAAAGCAAGGGCCGCATTCCTACAACTGAAGAACATAGAGAACTCGAAACAACTGTCAACGAACATTAAAGTCACAATCTTCAATACGAACGTCAAGATAGTTCTACTGCACGGAGCTAAAACTTGGAGAGTTATTACAGTCATCATCCAAAAGGTGCAAGTATTTATAAACAGCTGTCTCCTTAAGATACTGAATGTCCGTTGGCCGGATATCGTCAGCAACAGCCTACTGTGGGAGAGAAAAAACCAACTTCCAGCTCAAGAGGAAATCAGGAAAAGACGTTGGAAGTGGATAGGACATATATTTCGAAAATCACCAAACTGCATCATGAGGTGTACCAGGCGTAAGTAGTGAGTAAAAGTAACTTTAATTTATAACTAGTATAAATCTATTCCTGAGTTAAAATTCAATTTCAGAATGTAAATTTTATTACTTGAACATATCATTTGGGTTGTTTATCAGAAAAAATTACATTTTGAAGATACTTGTTTTATGAATATAAATATCATTATAAAACTAAGTGACTCGTGGTTTATTACTAACAGTAATCGAGTAAAGAAAACATTCAGTTTAATTACAAAAATAAGCTTTATGAATTCCATAACAAAACAACGGATGACTATCAACCAAATAATTTTACATATGGAGCTTGAATACTGAGGCAGATTTCTCAACACGGATTGATATCAACTGTATAAACATTGGAAACTAGAGAGCACTGAACAGATGTTTCGTCCTAGCGTAGAATTTCCTAACAGTTGGCTTCCACGGATCTGTTAGAAATCGACTCCAAAATATTTTGATCAAGTGAATACCATGTTACTTTTATACCACTCCCTTTATAAACCAGTAGGGAGCACTGAAATACTAATGAGTCATATTTTGCTTTATTTTAATGATGCCCATGTGCGTATACTAATGACCACTTTTGAAAAGGCTTTAGAAAACTAGGTGATCACTTTTAGTGAGCCCATTCAATTTTATTATTTGTTTACTCGCTGTAATTTAGATATTTAATGCACTATGTAAAATTATGTGTAAGTTTGATTGAGCGCTTGTCTGCACACCAATATTAATATATTCTCCCATTGGTTGTAACACACAGACAATCAATAATCTATTCACAAACGATTAACACTCATGAACACATATAGATTTTTAATACCCCCTACACACTCTCACTGGTTTTCCTGTGTGCTTGCTTTCTAGACACTTGCGGATTTTTACTAATCATTAACAATAAACTAGTTCTACAACTGGTGTTCAGGCTTTTGAATAGTCTTGAGTAAATTCATAATACTATTGGGAGATTTAGTCTGCGTAAATACTCAGTTAACGGGATACTACTTATTAGAGTCATATATAGAGGAAATTAGCCTATACACATTATTATATTATTGAATTTAATATTTAGTGAAAATAACCTTTGATTGCTGAAGCCACCCATTAATTGAAATAAAATTAAAGAGATGGGAAAATATAATAAACTTACAAATCCTCTAATAACATGACTGATTTCCATATAATGATCATCAATTACGTTGGCCAAATGGTAAACAGGCATACCATCGGATTTCACAATGATCTATTTGAAGCAATAAAATAAATCAAAGGAAACACAGTCAGTTTAAAATATTTCATTGATTATTTTTGTAAAACCATAAGTCATTCTACTACATGCTTGTATAAAAAAATATACTGCCATGCTGATAAAGTACATACTTATTACAAAATGTTTAAATTACACAATGCAAACACACGCTTTTTAGTCAAACAGGAATTAATTTGTAAACCTATTCAAGGAAACTTATTGCCATAATGTACTAAATGGAGAGTTCAATGGCCAGCTATAACATTTTTTCAATGATCAAAAGATTTATCAAATACTTGATATTTTTTGTAACAGTTTCAATCTTTAAGTCCATAGGAAACTGGAAAATTAGTGTAACAGATAAGCAATAGGAAAAGAATAATTAATTTGAAATATTCAGCTAATATAATTCACTTTACAGAGTTAGAAAATAAAGAAGACAGCGCCTCAAAACCTTTAAAAAGCGTACCCTTAGTCTTAAAAGATGACCAACTAATCAAATACTCAATCGAGCCATTTTTCCTTCACTTACAGTTGTAAAATAGTATAGAACAAAATGCTATGCAGAAGAACATGTCGCTCATACTAGTGATGGCGTAAGCTGAAAAAATCCATATATCTTTTAGTATCTGTGACGAAACTATGTTAACCAACAGTCTATCGAAGTTGGTGAGATTTCCATAATAAATTAGGTAGTCAACGGGTTCGCTTACTCCATTCACTGGTGGTCTATCGGTTAATAGCTTCGGCTCGAAACTGGTAGGTCCTGGGTTCGAATCCCGCGAGAGTGGGTTCGTGGATGCGCACTGCTGAGGAGTCCCATAATAGGGCGAGTTGGCCGTCCAGTGCTTCCAGGTAGCCCCCAAATGCCCTGGTACGGCCGAGAGTGGGGAGAGTCTGCTCTCACTCTCGAAATGCTCTCATATGACCACGCGTATATAGCTTCTGCCAGGGAAGTCCTACTCACTGCCTTCTCGTGGTGGGGGTGTTGTTTACGAAAGTGAGAGGACGAAAAGCGAATGTCCGGCGCTTTAACCGGGTTGGTGGATGTGGAGGATCCACCTAGGGGAGTTGGAAAATCCTGATTCCAAACCAGTGGTGCACATGGGCTCCAGTATCCTGAGGCAACAAATGGCGTACGAATCAACCGTTGATCACCGGCTACCATGGGACTGCATCTCCTCACGATGCTCCACTGCCATGTGGATCAGATATTCAGGTCAAAGGCTCCGGGTGTGGCCCCCTAAGAAAACCACCTGCTTCAGTCTGGGCACCTGAGCAGTATCACAGCCCTCACACAAATCGAATGAGATTTGTGAGGCGCATATTTATCTGGTGCTTCCTTGTACCAATATTTATGTGTTTAAATAAATAAATAAATAAATTCACTGTAGTCGAATAAACATTAGTGGAAGCCTAAAGGCATTTTAATTCACGTACTGCATAGAACAACGATTAGTCTAATCAGCTAGGTATTGATAGTGAAGGAAATAATGTTAATAGAACGGTACTTACAAAATCTCCTTCAGAATTAAGTGGATTGAAGATAGAACTTCCGTAAACGATGTCATTTACTTCTATTGGTGAATTATCAGTCTAAGGGAATCATATAAAAGATAAAATAATTTCGATAATCAAAAAATTCTCGGTGTAAAATAAATATAGGTATCAACAGGCAGATGAAAAAAACACCGTAGGCGTTGTTGACCGGCAATTCAATGTGATTAAAATAACTTACCAGATGAACGAAGTAATAAACCCATTTACTTACAATGAACGCCTTATCCTTATACAATATTATTTAACATCGTGTAAACTCTTGGTAGATTATAATGTTCATTATCAAGAAAACTGTTATCCTCTATCGGCTTTTTAAACTTCATTTTCTACGTATAATATCCAAAAAAGTGTAATAATAATGGAATACTTGTATATGAAGTTACATTTATGCATGAAATAAAAAAGCCGATTACTATTCAAAGCTAGAGAAAAATAACTTTACTTGTTAACTTTGTCACTGGTGAGAATGATTTCAATTCGCATATACAAATTAAAGAAAATTTTTAGAAATGACCGTTTCTCTAATAATAGATGCCAATAGTCCTGATAGGAGTGGCCCTCAGACAAAATAACGTTGAAACCACAATTCTACCCTCCAGAGAATAAACCACCTAGTTTCTTCTGTCGACAATGCGATCGAACAAGTAACTCAACGGTTCATTGAGGAAAATATTAAGTATCATAAGTGTTATTAAGAAATCGTGAATGTACCGAAGAAACTATACGCTAATCCAGAAGTAAGGGTGATATTAGGAAGTAAATTTTTAGTAATTACCTGGTCAAAGTCGTTGGAACGCTCGATGCACAGTCATTACCAGTATCTTATACTAGTCGCTCACTGATACACAGCTGTATAGGGGATAAGTTACCTTAACTGGCTGATGTGCATTTACTCATTCACTTGCCCTTGAGGAGCTATGTACACAGGTCATTCATTGGGGAACAACCCAATTGTATAGGGGAGTTTCTTCAATTTCGTTTACAGAGAATGTAATATTCTTAAATCTGTGGTCTGATTAAGAATGAAGAAATAAGTAATAAAAATCTTATTGATTTATTTGCTGTTCTTCATTCAGTCATGAATCAACAAGTCGAAATATATATATAACTTACTTAACCTCAAAGTGTACCATGAAATAGATAATGATCAAGTGATGTAGACGGGTAAAGAAAAATAGCATAGTGGTGTCCTTATAATATCCCAATTAGCAAAGAACTGAGTTTCTGGAGTCTCGTCACTTCATCATCCCTGTTATCAAACCTTCTATTATGGCTCCACCATTATCTCCACGTACTACCAGTATTAATGATTCGAATTTAAGAAGTGTTATTCTTGGTCTTCTGAAACTGCATTCTAAACCATGTATTTGGAACCTTCGATATCATATTGGACAACAGGCTTTATTAGCTATGATTATGGAATACCGCCCTACTGACATATGCTCCGCTCTCTACAATTCTTGATCCAAGATGACCCCAAATGCCCTGGTACGGCCGAGAGTGGGGAGAGTCTGCTCTCACTCTCGAAATGCTCTCATATGACCACGCGTATATAGCTTCTGCCAGAAAAGTCCTATTCACTGCCTTTTCGTGGCATTACTGTTATTTACGAAATTGAGAGGACGGAAAGCGAATGTCCGACGCTTTAACCGGGTTGATGGACACGGAAAGTCCACCTAGGGGAGTTGGAAAACCCTGATTCCAAACCAATGGTGCACATGGGCTCCAGTATCCTGGGGGAACAAATGGTGTATGAATCAATCGTTGGTCACTGGCTACCATGGGACTGCACCTCCTTACGATGATCGACTGCCTTGTGGATCAGATGTTTAAACCAAAGGCTCAGAGTGTGGCCCCCTAAGAAAACCATCCGCTTCGGTTCGGGTACAGCCCTCACACAAATCAAATGAGATTTGTGTAGCGCATATGTACCTGGTGCCCCTTTGTACCAATATTTATGTGTTCAAATAAATAAATATTTAAGATACATGAAGAGTGTATCGTGTCGTCTGTCTACATTGACTACGTGAGGTCAAGTGAATGATTACAACTGGATCACACATGAAAATTCCAGAAAGTAAGACACATCTCTACTACTTTATTTTTAATTTTTGCATGTGAATTAAGCCGATTGATTGAAACTAATCAACTCTTTCTTGCTCACTTCTTCGATGATCTTTTAGCTTAACTTATGGCGTGTATGAGACATTATGAACGCGAAATTCACTGTTTTTAATTTTAATACCGACTTATTCAAACATAACTTTTACATATGTCTCTTGATACTCTGTGTGATATAACACAACACTAAAATGGTAGTGATCGTATAAACTGTAAAACCTTGGATATCTAAGAGTTCGTACACTAGTATTGTTAATTCTTACATACAGATTTCAAAAAACCTGTCCTCCTGAATCATGATTCACTGGTCTGACGTTACTCAGAAGTCTTATTATTTTAAGTGGAAAGTAAAATGATTTTTAGGCGTAAATTGATGGTTGGCAACTAATAAAATGATGATTCTTCAATGGTTTGTAACTTTTCACACTTATTACGAATTTTCAACTAATCACGTTTCTTAAGTATTTACGATTATATTACTAGGAAACTTAATCAGATGAATAAACACTGAAAACCATGGAGGACTGAAAAAGATATTTTAGTGTTTCGTGGAACCATAATGGAACATAACGAGGAATTCAGGACTTTCGGGTTCGGAGATGAAAACAATCAGTCCAGACCAATAGTTTGACTATCCCGAAATTCGGTTGGTGTAAGAGCTTCTTGTGACAGCAGTCTAGTATGTTGTTTTCCGATAATGCAACACTTATTGATTTTTCAAACTTAAAAACGACCGTAAATTATTATGAGAATAATAACAAACCTTGAATCGAACAACATATGGTAAAGAAGCTAAGTTTTCGTCGATTTCCCTTTGAGACAAATTACGGCAACGATTATCATAACGTTGAGGTTCCCTACGACGATTTTGTTCTTTGCGTAAGATAGCTAGTCGTTCTGAGGAGCAGAAGCATCGATAAGCAAATCCTTCATCAATTAACTTTTGAGCGATAGATAAGTACAGAGGTCTTCTTTCTGACTAAAAGACCAACAGATAACAGAAAATGGTGTGAAAATAGTATTTCCCATGTCCATACAACAAGCTTTTGATGCTCAAGATATGCTTACACTGGAAATAATTAAAAAACAAACACAAACCTAGATAAATATTGTAGATGATTGTTAAATTTAATTCATAACAAAGTTAATACAATGCCAAACTTATGTGAATGATTACAAAGAGCTGAAAATAAGGTATCATAAGTTAGATTGTAAGAGAAATGTGGAAGTTTAGTCTTACTATCCATATAAGGATGTCTGCAGTAGACGATGACTATCTAATGAAGGTATATGAAGAGTTATGAAAAAAGATTGTTACGATAAAATGAAGGGATTTATAAACCTAACCTTTACAATTTATAATCATTCCCGTAAATAGATAAAGTGTTAACAGGATGTAGATTGGATTAAAACACGTTCTGTGAAGGATTACACTCAAGCATTCTGATTGGTTATTTCTCGGTCAATAGACGCAAGCGAATAATTGGAGAGGACTCTAGAATCTCGTATAAAATTATAAATATAATAACGTGTTTCTTAACGTGATTCATACCCCCCTTTAACCTTGTATATTTAGAATATAATTACGTTCCTGTCCAACCGTGTTCTGATTTAGAAACTAGTCGAGTGACGTAGTGGTCGAATAGTAAGTAATAAGAGTAGCTGGGTCGTAATAAGAGATCATAACATAAAGATATATACAATGATACACTTCATTTTCACTATACCTTATCAAATTAATGAGTGATTAAATGTGTACATCCAGTATTTAAACGGATATCTTCAATCATTCACTGAAAAGACTCCACAAGTAGCTGCTCAATCCAAATTCAGGCATAACGATTATAAGAACTATGAGCACATAGTGAAGAATAACTATCACAGTAAGGTGTGTTTCCCAACGAATAAAAAGAGAAAGCATATCGATTTGCAGATGATTAATGAATGAATACAACTGAGTAGTTGTGACCGGTTTAGCTTCATGTCAATGATCGCGGGTATTGTATGGACCACAGCCAATAAGTTAGCATTGACTGATAATTTATATCAACAGTTAACGACTGCACGGACTTATGTTACATTTTGATGTCAGCTCTTAATCCAGGAGGGAAAAACTACAGCCACTGGAACAAATAAAATATTTTTGCTGCCACTTACTAAGACTATGTAACCATATTTATAAATATTCCCTACACATGATGCTATTTTAAAGAATATTAATACTGTTTCATTGGTAGGTTTGAGCACTGAATGCTACTTTTACTAAGGGTCAGGAAAATCAATTAATGAGCTGTAATAAAAGCAGCAACAGAAGTATATGACATGATAAGATGAAGATCATTTACCAGTAATAACAATTAAAGTTACCTACCCTCTAAGTGACTACATAAAATCAATTAACTAAAAAGACAGGTGATAAAAGCTAATATCCAGATAGGCAATTTGTTTTTGTTGCTATTCATACATGGTTCAGGAGTCTTGAAAACTGACTAATAGAATAATTAGTGCACACAATATTATCCAAATTGTTTCCACACGACTGAGAAGGTAAAACATGACCTAATTGACTCAGGTGGTTAAGTACTATCACTACCTAACGTGTACAGTGGTCGAAATACACATATGTACCGTACTTGTTGAGTAACAACACAAGAATGAACTTCAGATTAATTAAACTGCTTCAAATTGTAACCATTTATTATAAAGGCATTAAAAAAATTCTAAAGAACATACTTGAATGTACGAGCCATAATTTCCACTAGTGGTTGGACTTTCGTCAGGAGTTAGTCCAGCCCAGTGAAGCGACTCTATAATATCGTCCTTAGCATATGGTTGAACTCTGGACTACTGAATAAGCATGTAGGAATAATTACTTTACCTTATCCGTATCTTCAATACGTAGTATGAATTTCCCCGAATGTTTTACAGCAAACAACTTGTTAAATAAGGCAGTACGTAAACCGCCTAAATGCATAAAACCTGTAGGACTTGGTGCGAAACGTACACGAATGGGACTGATCTCCGTCAGTTTACACTTTTGACAAAAGATGATATATTTTTGACACAGAAAGTAATTGGTGCGTGATAATCGTATTCGTGACGATGTTAAAGCCATAACTCAGCACATATAAAAGTGAAAGTAGGATGTTATTTAGTATATAGCAGCTCAATCGTAGATTTTTAAATATATTTACTTCAGCTATATATATATATATATATATATATATATATATATAACGTAAAGGTTTATATCATAGGGTTACCGCTGGTCCGAAATAAGTCTACCTTTACTTGATTGCTTTGGTCACAGTCAGTCGGATATAAGAAACGCAGAGCTTGGCACATGTACAACGGACCAGGTACCTAAAACCCACTGGCACAACGAGACGAAACTATGAAGATGGATATTAAAGTGATAGTAGCGGCATAAATGATTGAGAAAAATTCGGGGTGAGACTATAACATATTGAGGTTCTTTAAGCGATGCTAGTGGCCTTGAGAGTGTATGCCTGCTTACTAGGACTAAGTAAAAGTTACAAATTAGTGTGACGAATTAGGATTTGCAGCTGGACGTTGACTCTATGAATTAGAGTTTTCACTATGAACTGACATCAGCTATATTGCTATTTAGCCAAGTGGATGAATGAAAATCGTGTTAAAATTCAAGACCTATTAACTTAAATTTGATTAGTTTGCCCATAAATTATAATCTCTCCATCTAATTCAGGAGACAGAAAGGTAGTGATACAGTATCTGTTATGTATGAATATCGATTGAATGTTTGTGGGATATGTTAAAGACACTTGTAACAAGAAAAAGAAATTTTGATAAATGACGAGCTAGGCATATTTTCTTTGGCAGAATGTAAGGGAGTATTGCGTGTCTATTTCCTTTAACACCAAAAAAACTCATTAAGATCTAATGTAAAAAACCACTTAATGGTTATAATTACAGTGCTGTGAGGTCAAAACAGGGATCGGTGACTACGGAAGTTGTTTTGACAAACAGATATAGAATGTTTAGCGTTCTGGTTCTAAACTGTTCTGTGTAGTTACGATGAATTACGATTTTTCATCAGCTGTTTTATCTTTCAGCACTGATACTCAGAAAAAATAACCGATATTCAGCCGACTGCAGTAACCTGTACACTATTAGACTCATATGGTCGGCAAAATATGAAGTAATCTCGATAAACCTGCCGACAGACATCTAAATATCCTTGATTTAGATTTACAAGCATTAAAAATATTGAGATAAAATGTTATGTAGCCAAGTAGTATTACTCATGAGTTTTAGGACCCATTTGAGACAGATTTTGGAAGACCTTTCAGACCTAAAATGACAAGCAACTAGAAAACCTCTATTGTTTTCCACAATTTTTAACTAGATGAGAGAAAAACGTCTACTAATTGGCTAGTTTACTAGCTTTGAAGTTATCAGGTCAATTGTGGACAAGAAAACTCATTATTGATGTGTAAATGCACATGCATTGAGGAGACGATTCTATAAATACTTCAAGAAACGTAAAACACCCCATTCCGTTTTACTCAGATGATGTCGTTAGAAATAAAGTATGTGGACAATCCTCTGGATAACGAAAAACATTTTGTCATGAAAATATTTGTGATGAAAAAGCAATACACTAACAACTGACAGACAATTTTTACATGAACAAAGTACAACCTAATCTCCATATTTTGGGGACATTTGGGCAAAGACTTGAATTTCCCGTAGTCGTTAGAAATTATGGGTATAAAACCTAAAGTGCCGATTCCCCAAAATTTTTTATAATGGCTCTCCAAAATTTCTTCCAGAGCGAACAAAATTTTCACAAAAATAATGAGATTGCGAATGTGAACAAATTATTATGGTTTTTTCACGAAATGGCATCCACTATATTTCAACAATTGATATGAAGACAAAACCTGATTGACTTGTCCGCATAATTTACTCCTACAAACAACTTTAGTGTTGGTGTGAGAAGCGTAATTTAACTTCCAAATGCAAAAACGTTACAGCAAATACTTTTGGGGACGGTTAAAAATTGAGATCCTTTCAAAGACGCTCGCTGGTCCGTTTAAACAACCTTAAACAACCCTACAAGAAGCGGTCGGGTATTTCCGTTAGGTATCTGTTGAGTTGGACGAATATCAAGTTTTCTCGTATGTAAGTGTTCTCTTGCCGCAGCAAAACCACAAAATCATTGTGAAGAACATTGATTTAGCTTTCTCTGTCTTGTAGTGCACACGTTGAATCGATTGTTGCTTCGTAACTTACCAATCTCTTCATTTCGGCGGAAATTTTGTCCAGTTTGGGTAAATCTTAGGGATAGTGTTGGTCGAGGGCATCCTGTTCTGGTTTTCTGAAAGCGAGAGGAATTGAGAGCAACTGTAACCTGGATCGTGGATAAATCGTGACATGCCTGTGTCCTTGCCGTCATATGCTACTGGCATACATAAGAAGACGAACTCTTACAAGTAAGCTCAATCAATCGCGAAATTTAAGCTGTATAGTTCATCATATTCCTAGACGCTGCAGTCGATGGAGGATAGATAACACTTACACCTTTCATAATCACAACAACTTAACTACCCAAACTAAGCAAACAGTATGTGTATTCAACAAAGCTAATTTTTACTTAAGAATCATCAATAAGTAGGTAAGACTGTAGTCTCTCTAACGCTTGTCTTTGTGTGTATTCTTCACGATACAAAGTATGAATCGGAATACAACAAAATGTGGAGACATGACAGGAACTGTTTACTAGAAGAGGTTCTTTGTAGCAGTATTTTCAACTTAACCATATATCCAACTCGTTAACTGATTTTTCTGCAACAAATTTTACCGTTTCCGTACCAGTAGTAATGATGCATCAATAAAATTTTTCCCAATTTTATTTTCGTCTTCGTAGCTTCGTGGGGAGATATACCGATAATCATAACGAGTAACTGTTTGTGAAAGTTAAAAACACAACAAGTGTTTGCTTTATAAATACCTGCTTCCTTACGAAAACTTGTATTACTGCGTCACTTTAGAGGTTTTGCTAGAATTTTGCGTTGAATGCATAAATCTCTTCAATGTGACAGTATATTCGAATGAATACTTGTAGTGGCATTGTTTCCTAACCACATGGTCTTCGAATCCAAGCATATAATGACTGAAAAGATGTATATTCAACATGTAACATGTGGCGAAAATCGGAAGTGGTGGATGTGGGGACATTCATTCAATCGAATGGCATGGATCAGTCTTGCAGACGTGCTCTACATTAAATGCATTATTCTATCCCCAGCACAAATGTGTTTTTCAGAAGTACTAAGTGTCATTGTTAATTGTCACGATACGATGGATCAGTGTAGATGGTGCTGCGACTTCCCCGTAAGATCTTACAGATTAGGCAATTACATGACGAATTTACCTTTTACGGATTGGGTTCACTATCAAATTAGTATTATTTCCGAACTGGACTATATTACACATACTAACAAGATTTATAATACAAGAACTGTACAGTTGTTATATTTATATTTAGATGATTCATTGGATGAATAAACGTGGCAGTAGTCACTATAAAACACAGTTATCGTCAACTTGCAAATCGTTTTTCCGGTAGGATTAAACTATACTGCCGAGCCAATCAGAAGCTTTCGCGGGTTTTCAAGGTCACGGCGGTAAGTTCGGTACCTGATGCTTACGTACGGTTGGTTTACAGCGGATTTTAGGGAAGACGTGATAATTTAGCATCTACAGTAGAAGTGATCATAAGATTTTGTCGCGAAATTCAATTATCCATTTGGATAAATAGAGTTTTGGCATTATAGCTGATGTCAGTTCGTGATGAAAACCCTAAGTATAATTCCTAGCCTTAATCATGGGCGGCCTGCTTAAATATCTGGGCTACCTGTTCCTTTCATCTATATATTTCAACAAGTTATCTAATATTATATGTTTTAATACATCATTATGGCTATTAATCACACAACCTATTCAGGTGCGTTTCTGAAAACTGTACAACCTTTCGCTGTAAAGGTTACAAAAAGCCTAATCAGAGATGTCGTGTTTGCTGGGAACATTCAGCGAAAAGAATATACATTATCCATATGTCGATTGATTGAACTGCTGACATCTAACTGGCGATCGCTAAATATTTATCGTCAGGAGCAACGAAGAAATAAGAAACGGACGCTTGTTGAAATACTTTAAGCTGAGAATTTGACTTTGTACCAAATAATATAATATTGAATAAAGCTAATAATAATAACAAATCACAATTTGAATTCTTCACACGTGTTTATAACACTCATTTGGTCAAAGTTTATTAGTTATTACGTTGACACTTTCAGAGTCACTCTAGCGTCGCTCAAATGTTGTCCATAACTTATAGTCTCACCCATAACCCTAAACCCTACACCTAAATCTTAACTCTAGCCCTTACCCGTAAACCATACCAATATACTAACATTATTGAAGCTATGTGGTCGAGGCTAAAAGAATTTTTGGGACCTTATCATGGTTTCAGAGGTCGACTACTATGGAGCCATATGGATGTGTTCCTGTACCGTATGCACTATGATTTTAGAACTTCTGAACCTATATCTGACCTTGAGAAGTTTTTGACCCATGTAAAAGAAGTGTTTTCACTTTAATTCTTTGGTTTTGTACAATATATTTTTACTGTATACTAACTGTCTTCTGATCGGCTAATATTTCTCAAGGTCATTTAAGATTCGTTCAAAGGTCGGCAGTATAGTATAATCCTACCGTTTCTCCACATAAGCTTCCATTTTCGGAAACTCGCTAAGCTGTTCATCGGCATAAACTTGATTATTAGAAAGGTCCTAGCCTTTCAATTAGTTAACAGGATCTATGGATTGCATAACAGAAAACGTATGAGGACCTTCTCAGCTTCATGCAATTCTGAAAACAACAAATAAGTCGTGAAACAAACTACTAAACCTAGTTATCAGTATCAAATCCAATAAGTATGTAGATGGCGTCGCATCACGATTGACTGTGGTCACCACCACAGGAAGATTACGCGCCAGGTATCGCGTTGGATCCCTCCGTAAGCCAAAAACCAGAATGCTGTTGATGTTCCAGATAGGATATATTTGCTGGCGATCTCGTGATATTGAAGAATACCGATAAGTACCAAAGTTTACAAGTGGAACTACCGAGCGTACTCGAGTTCGTGCAGGGTCACAAGCAAGGAAAGAATGTACCTCAGATGTACATGAAACTTGTGAAGGCTTTTTACTCAAACACTACTAGTTGGGTCAGAACTTATAGAGAACGGTCACTTTATCATGCAACGTAATGTATTGTCCGAAAGGACTGGCCACTATATCCATTTTGTTCAGTTTCATCACAGACCTACTGCCAAAAATAACGCTCTCGTTTACTGAATTTTCGGGCATCGATCTTCTACAAGAAGGTTCACTTACTGACTATTGATTACATGGTTCAATTTGGTGAAAACGCTGACAAAATGCCGAGTATTTTGGTAGCACTGAGCAACATTGCCAGGATGTTTGAGATGCATTTCTTCGCCTGTAAATGTACACTGTTGTTTAGGACTGGACTGCATCAACACCTGAAATAAGAACAGGGAGTGAAGTAGTTGAACGCGTTGACAACTTCCATTATTACGGAAGTCTGATCATCCCGAATGGGTTGGTGTTTGAAGAAATCTCTGAACAGATTCAAAAAGCGCGTTTGGCTTTTATCAACTTATGTGAACTCTGACGAAGGCGAGATATCCGTCTATCAATTAAGGGACAAGTATACTGTGCGGCAGTTCGTTCTGTTTTAATTCACGACTGTGAAACGTAGTCATTAAGAGTGGAAGATACTCGTAAGTTACTAGTGTTTTATGACAGGTGTCTTAGAAATATTGCTAGCATCTGTTAGGATCACCGGGTAAGTAATAATGAGGTTAGACGCAGGGTTTTCGGGAATGATCGTAAATCAGTTGATGAGGTTGTGAATCTTCACCAGCTGAGATGGTTGGGTCACGTGTTACCTACGTCTGAACACCGATTACCACAACGCGCAATGTTGACTGGTGTTGAAGACTGATGGAAGAGCTAGGGGCGGTCAAACCAAATCGTGGCATCAGTGCTTAAAGTCAAAAACCTTTAGTCTGAGCCATGTTAATTGATGCAGACTACTACTACTACTACCGTAGCCAAAAATTGGAGACGGAGTGATATATTTCTGAATGGATCACAATAGCATAGACGTCCACACTCCCTGCCTTCCCTTATACCGTGTTATTAAAATTACGTTAACCTTTCTTTCTACGAACTAATTCTCTCCTTCTGTATCATATCCTTATATGCAACGTTTATTAAATAATACTGCCGTTGAAGTAACTACTTCTATGAATTTAATGTTCATTTTGTAGTGCTTTGAGGTGTGGCAACTTGGAACGATGTATATGTGTGCCCAATCCTACGTTGTAGCTGTCTGACTGAGATCTGCAATCCTTCGACACTGATGCCGACACCACTAGCCCGACGGTACACTTCCACTCTGAAGGCGCTCAGCCCCCATCCACACGGTCAAAAAGTAATGCTATGGGTTCTCGCTCACATGTTAAACGTTGTCGAGGGTTCTGGATGTCGTTATCTATCAGCTATTAACAGCTTCTTTTTTCGTCGCACGTCAACTTTCGTAATCTTTGTGCTTGTTACATGGCGTTTATTCCGGTCTATTAATAGCCTGAAGTATTTGTTGCCCACAACCTGAGTGAATGTTTGGTAACCCTAATTTGGTTATTTGTAACAACGCAAACTCAGGCAAGTGAAATTCACTATTTATCAAGTTGAAAATAGACCGGAATCAGAGTTTGAAGTAAAAATATGCTTTAAAACCATATGACTCACCTCCCTAATTATGGTAGTCATGAATATGGGTGTTGGCAGTTGTTTAAAAAATGCAGGTTGAAACATTTGACCGTTTAACTATTTATGAATATTATATAACTTGCTAACATACAGCCTTAAACAGTTCTATCCATTATAAGTATCATCGTTTTCAACTGAAATGACATATTGTTACGTAGGGTATCTGAGAAAAAAATTATGTAAATAACAATTGACGGTGATAGCCTTTCCTGTCCGCTTTCTGAACATTTACAGGATTTGTGTATAACATTACTGTGAGCGCCACATAAACTAGGCAAATAATATTTGTAAGTAAAGTGATGCGCGTTTGTTTTGAGCATGATATAAAAAATGTCGGGAATAATACTAGTTTTTATGTCTGTTATAGGGTTAACAAATAAATTTCTGTCAACAGAATCCGAAACCACTGACCAAAACACAAAGTCTTCATGCATGTCGACGAGTAATTTCGAAATAGTGCTTACCAGTTATTTTATCATTGCATGTAAACAGTGAATTGCTAGTGGTGTTATGAACGTTGTAATTGGATTTTTCCCAGATTACATATTTCTGAATAAAGTCTTTGAATCCGTTTATATGGTGCCTGCAGTTTGTTTGTTAACACCGAATAACTAGATGAAATTCTAGGAGGGTTGGAAAATGAAGAGTACTGCTTGCAACAAGTAATAATGAATGATGACAAATCGGTAGATGAGGTTGTGAATCTTTATCGGTTTAAATCTTTGGGCCATGTGTTGCATGTCAAGCTTACCGAATATTTGATTGAATGTTATGGTTATTGATACTTGGGTAACAAATGGTCGAAGTACGCTTCAAATTTATGATCGATTCTTTGTGGATATAAACTGCAACCGTTAAGCGTTACTCAGCAAATAAATGCCTCATTGTGCCTGTGCTCTGCAACATCTAATTTAGCAGATGAAGTTTTTCATTTTCTGGCAAACCCATTTAACCGCCAAAGATGTCAACGCCTGCAGATGCAAAATGCATTCTTCCCTCTGTAGCAATATTTTTACTATAGATCACTAAAATCAGTGAAATATTAAAAACGCCTGTGGAGGGAGAAAAGTTTTAAGCCGAAGCTTTCCTGCAATAATAACGATAGTGTTCCGCTTAAACACTTCAGATAATCTGTTAGAAGTAACTGATTTCTTAATCAGGTAGGATATCTTACAAGTGACGAGCGTAACTAAAAATTTCGAAGAAATTTTCAATCATTTAGGGATTGAGTGAGAGGGTTAACAACGTAGCATTGGTCGACAACTTTTCCTTCGCGACTCATAAGGCTTTTCTTTGAAACTGGTGGTCTCGACAATATGATATTTCTGTGGGCAGTTCCTCTACTGGATTGTTCTGGAGCTTAATGTGAACAGCTAACTTGCGACAATTATGAGCATTAGTATTATCAACAGAGTAAAGATTCTGACGACAACTTTTCGACCGCGTATTCTTCGTTTTCGAGTCAGTAAATTAGTGATGGGGATGGCCCATTAACTACAAGAACAAAAAGATTACTCCACCACAAACACAGAAACTGAATATGGTAGAGACTGGACCCTTAATACTTAGAGTACTTTTGATATTACGCGGATCTATAACCCATGGACACAGAAATGTTCTATACTCGACACACAAAACTTGGAGCCACCTTAGTACGTCCACACATTCGTTTCTTTCAGTTGCTCGTTTAGTCTAGTACAACGTTTGTGCTCAAATCTCTCAAAGATTTATTCAATGCATTTTCATGTTTACTTAATGATTAAGATTGAAAGAGCAATGCAAGCACAACGTTAATGATTCAAGGCCAAATGTATTGGACACTGAATAGATCCTAAAAATGACACTTTCAAAAGTGCTACGAGTTTCTGCTTCTCATGCCTCCTTGGCGCTTATACTTTACTTACGTTTCCATAACTATCGGGAGTTCTTTCGTTTTCGGATATCATACAGGAGTTATCAACGCACCATTATCAGTAGGTTTTCAAAATATGATGAGGATATTTTCCAAGCTCATTCAAAATTTTACTCAAAAAGTTATTGACGAAAGACAATACACATGTGGCTCTTCATGTGTGAGAGTGATTATGTCAATATGCGTAGCAGGATTTGTTATCGGTGGGTTATTTGGGGGCTTATTTGGTGGATTTTTAGCTAACAGACTTGGAAGGTATGTCTATAGACTGTAAATGACTTTAAAATTTAGAAGAAAAACTCTATTTCTTCTTTCTATCCCAACAATCTTAGGATCTGTACTCATCACGGTCTCGGTGAGTTTGAAGTCGTTCGAGGCTATTATATTCGGAAGATTTATAGTTGGTTTTTCTGCAGGTACTCATTTTGGAATGTATTCGAATGCTTTTTCAGGTGCTTATACAGTTGTCACACCTACATATCTTTCAGAGATTGCTCCAATAAAGTCACGTGGCGCGGCAGGGATTTTGAATCAATTTGTTACAGTGCTGGCCATTTTTTTATCCCAGGTCCTAGGTCTGTCGCAAATAATGGGGACGGATAAATTCTGGCCATTCTTGTTAGGTAATAATATCGTTGTTATTATCTGGTTTCAGGTCTTTGCGCTCCTGTTTGTTTTTCGCATGTGATACTTATGGCGTTTTGTCCTGAAAGTCCTAGCTACTTGTATTTAGTGAAGGGAGACAAAGGTGCTGCAAAAAATGGTACTTTTTCGTTAATTAAATTCTTTAAACAGTGTAGCTCTTTTGTTATTACGAGGTAAGGACTATGATGTCGATATGGAGCTTGACTCATTTCAACGAGACCCGGAATATATCACCAGAAGTTACTTTGGAATGGGTGACTTATTCCGAGTCCAACATCTCCGATGGGGTTTATTTGTTGCACTTATTCCACATTTCGGGCAGCAACTCTCAGGAATCAATGGTGTGAGTTACTGATTAAATAATTTTGCAATTATGATATACAATTTAAATCTAACTTACGTGATAATAAGCAATTTATCTTTAAAGCGGTAATAACATATTTTATGGGCATTACTGTCCGATTAATTTGGATACTAGCTATATGCTTTCAAGGTACATAACCCAATGTGGTAATTAGAAGTATTTGAATTTTTATACGAACCAGGAATCCCCGAATCAGGGCGATTTAAACCACACAGAACTATGTGAGAACAAACGAACGTATTGTATTTAAAATTCAACATCAGCCAGACATCAAGTACGAAAGAATCATTAATTCATACAAACACCACACCCAGCTAGCTGTTTCCTTCCTTGTTTGTTCAAGATTTGTCATCAATTAGAATAAATCAATATTTTAAATAAACACTTTTAAGATCAGACTAAAGCGTATAGGGTATAGATTATTTTGAATGACTTCACAATTAAATTCTTTAAAATTACTGCTAAGACTTAAACATTGAAAGCCTTTATAAATGCATATTGATTAGCAATAACCGGTAAATAAAGACGCTTAAAAGTACAAGAAAATCAAAATTTATTGTATCAGTGAGTGGTTATTTGAAAAAAAGTATTCGTCAACCGGTTTTATCTCTTATCGAATGGATCAAAGGATTATTTTTTTAGATTCGTTGATGTAGTTACAAATCTACGTATTATTCAACGGCCATATTTTCAGTCATCATAGTCTCAATATTACCATTGTCGGCTTTTATTACAACTAATGATGTTTTGTTAAGTTTGAATAAAAATTGACACTTTATATGATGGATTGAGTAATAATACACGTCTTGGTTCATCAAGTAAACTTTTGAAGGTAATATATTCCGGCACTTTGTCTTTTATTGACTAACGTGTTTAGAAACCTATTCAAGCCTCAAAGTTCATTTTGTGGAGCCATGACAGTTAAAATCAGACATTCCTGCGGGTCATAGACAAATCAGCTTGGGTTGTTAAACTACTCATTGACTTAATGGTCTTATCTCCGGCTTTCTAAAAACGTCGTTTAGATACATCTTAGCACATCCACTTTCTTTTGATAAATATTAAATTTAAGTAATACAGAAAACATCGAAGTCATTTAAATTGGAACGTACCGAATTTTATGATGAAAAACCGACTTCTTTCGTTATAAATGATTGGCATCCGATTATTCACATTTTGATTATCTTTTATCTTATGACTATTTCTGTATTAACAGTTTATCAAAGTTAGTGTGCCGTCCCGTCTGAGACTAGGTTTGCATTTGGCGCAGTTAATGCTCATACATGACACAACTGATAAAAATGGACAGTTTTTTTCAGAAATCCTGAGATTTGTTAATACAAAGTAAGAGCATAAGTGGTATTAAGCAGAAGCTTAATTTTACGTTTAACTTTTTTCTCAGCCTAGTGAAAAACAGACTACTTAAAAAGTCAGTAAAGTAGGTCACGGATTTGACCGTTTGTTGTGGCAATAGGGATTATGTGCAATCCATTAGCTATTCTAATGCTTTGATGTTTATCCGTCGGTTTGCATCGTATAAACTCGTGTGAAGCGTTTTAATTATAGCATTCATCTCTTGTTATTTAGCTAACTGGAAATATTCCATTTCTCTATTTACAGGAAAATTAGAATTTATGTTCCACCCCATACATCGCTCAATAGTTTAGATAGTTGCAGAAGTTCTGAAAACTTATTTTAATCTAAGGATTTATTTCTCATAGGCATTTCTTATAAGCGTTTCTGATTAAATATAGATGTATGTTATCTGAAAATCATGGCTGACACACGTAGAAACTAAAAAGTGGTATTAGTAAATGGCCGTTTGTATGTCTCACTTTATCCAATAAATTACCACTTTTGTTGGTAATTTATCACTTTTTATTTTTTGGCGTATGATATCCATTTGCCGTCTTTTTACTTACTTTCTGAACTGTATTCAAATATTCATTATATCACATTTATATTTATTTGCATTGGTTTCTAACTCCACGAACCTTTGTAAGTGCTTTAAAAACACCTTGTAATTAAATTTCAAAACATTACAGCATGATGAAACCAATCTAACAAAACAAAACAATTAGAAGTCGTATTGCCTATTTACTACTCTTTCTCTCTCTCAAATTGTTAAACTTTCAGGTCAGTAAAGATGTATATAACTATTCAAACCATTTTCCATTTTGAGATGTGTCAACGGATTAAGCTCAGTGAGAGAGTAGACAGGTTTATGTCATGCAAAGTTTGATTCAAGATAATACGCAGATTTATTAAGAAACATCTTTGCTCGAATTAATATTGGGCCTCTTGTTTTTTTTTAACTTCAGGTTTTATATTACTCTGTTCCACTATTTGAAAGTGTCGGCCTTACTAACAGCGACGCCAGTTTTGTCAATCTTGGGGTTGGAGCGGTTATCGTGTTAGGCACAATTGTGTCTGTATGTGTTATTGACAGAGGAGGCAGACGCATGCTATTACTCGTTGGATTTTCAATATGCTTAGCCAGTTTAATCACATTTACAACAGTTTTGTCAATTCGGAAGTTCAGTCATACATCTTGGTTAACATACATTTCTATTCTTGTGTTATACTTATTTGTCTCAGGATTTTCCTTTGGCCCAGGTATATAAACAAATATTTCTGTTATTCAATCATCTGACAAAAATTGACTTTTAATTAGCTTTGTCCGTCCAAAAGCTAAGGCAACTTATTTGCGTAACATATACAAAAACGATTAACAATATTGTGTACAGCTTGTATGCAAACAAATAACTTTTTCAAGGTAACCTAAACATATGGAAATACTACTACTTGTGTCTGCTATTCTCCTATGAAGCTCGTTATCTGCAATTAGAATATTGTCTAGGCGAACATGAAATTTATGTATTGCAACAGTTGCGTGCTTATATTGAGATCTTATTCCAACTGTTGCAAACCTACAGCAAACTTTGTCGTCGAAGTAAACTTCAACGTATGTGGATTGGGAAACACCAGCAATTTGAACAATGTTTTTTGATCAAACGTTTAGGATCAGCTCATAAAATACAACTTCCTCTACTATCTACCACTAAATATTTGTATAGAACTGAAGATAACAAAGTAGTAAAGTTATTTAGTCTTTAAAACTGCCATCGCTGGCAAAAATGTGTCCGACAAATACATGATTTATGATCGCAAAATATTGTTTGAAATGAAATGAACTCAGTAATAGATACGGTTATATTTGCCTAACTTTGTTATTTAAATTAAAGTAAATATAAAGCGGAAAGAATTTGGTCAAATAATGATCTTTTATAGTTCCAGAATAAAGTGTGCTTGTTAAATGTAAACTCAAAATATGATATGAAGTACACAGACAAAAATCTCTCAGTTTTATTGTTGTTAACAGGATCAAAAAACATCTTACAAAAACTACTTGAATAGTTGACACTATAGGACACGCATTATCAACAAAGTTCTCATTAATATTTTCAATGTTCCGTCAAACAAATAATTAGCCTCACTATAAAATTATCCAGTTGTAGACTAAAGTAAAAAATTTACTAGATTTTACTATTTCTCATGATGTGTGTTATCATTATCATTCATATAAAATGAATAATTGTTGATTTTATCACTATAACTTCACCCCTCATGATTTATGATCCTCATCATATTTATCGGTCATATTCTTAGTTCCCCATTAAACAGAGAGTCAAACAATCATTGAAGTCAGTAATGTCTAAATTTACTCTGAAAGTTTGTTTTCGAAATATCTGTTTATTGGACAGTGGAGTTAATCATTCAAAATTTATTGCCTTCCAACAGAAATCAAAATACTAATATCTGTAAACATGTTTAAAAAACGCTTTAACATTTATTTGGATATCCAGATTCAAACAAATTTAATATAGGTGAATTTGGTACTGAAAAGAGATATTTTGTTGATGGATGGAGTGGTTCAGTGAAGACAAATTTCTTTTCCATGATCTTATCAACGGCGATTTGTACTGTAGTGAATGAAGACTTAGGTGGGGAAGGCCAATCGATTGTTCAGTGCAAAATTACAGTGTCTTCGTAAATTATGTAAACCATACATAAGATATCTCACTTGCACATCTTTCATGATTCCAACAATCCTCAATTCCTTTATGTTTCTCTTTCTGTTTTCTTTAGTTCAAACATCTTAACTTTATTTTGACATGCATTTCGCTTCTGATCGGCATTACATATTATTCATATCTGCAACATAAGTAGCATACACCACAGCACCATCATATTTACAGCTAATTAACACATAAAACTTAACTGAAAAAGGAACTTTGTTACAAAGCGATTGGAAATTTTAGATATAGTGCTTTAAACAGTCCTGAATACAGCTTACGGTTGATCATCAAACTAATATGAGTAAGACAAAGAAAACTCTTTAATAGCTAGTTCTTAATTATCGAGAATCATAGAGCAACATCAGCTGATTAGTAAATATGGAAAATTCTTGAATAACTGTATCCATAAAAATTATTTTAAGCCTAAAAGTAGGGGATATCTGAAATTGTTAATAAACAGAGGTTAGTGGTCTGTAGTCATATAACAAGTAAAAATTAGCATTTATCAAATCTGCACATTTTAAAATAAGTGAATCGCTTACTTAACATACCTTATGTTTCTGCAGTTATAATATTCTTATGAAATTTTCAGGCTCTGTTCCTTGGTTCCTCGTGGCTGAACTATTCACTCAAGAATATAGAGATGCTGCACAAAGTGTGGCTGTGGGCACGAATTGGTTGTGTAATATTCTGGTTGGACTTCTTTTCCCTCAATTACTCGTAAGTTTTGATGATGTTTAAAAAAGATGTTTAGTGAACAATCTATCACCTTAGATGTTCATCGAATGTTTAAAAAAATCATAAACAAAACTTCCATATATTAATCTGGAAATTATAAAATTATTTACTGCATTTACTTATCTTAACTTATGAATTACGACTGGAACGAGATGTCGACAAAAAGTATATTAAAAGGCATACGCATATTTATAGGCGGAATTGTGCACAAATCATCTTGTAAATACATCTTATGGTCTAGGATATCAAGTCTGCTTCCAATCAGTCTATTACAAAGGCGACATATAGTTCTGTTTCAATGTGGTTCAATGTTAATATGGGTATATCTTTCACTTAATCATGTGGTCGAACTAAAAACCTAGGGTTTGCTAAATAAGATGTTCTCGGGCACTCCTTACGATACAGCTCTCCTAAAGCAGGAGTATGTGACAATCGATTGAACTTTATTTTTAATAAATATGGTATGACCGTGGACCTGAGTTTATATAATTTGACGTTTCGGTATGATATGCATTCATCAATTCTGATCATCCATTTATGTTTGGCTTAAGAAATAAGTGCAAATATTTAATTAAAGGATATTATTCCAGTCGCATTCCTCCTATTATTCATCTTTGAATAAATCACTTAACTCAAATATGATAATTTGATTGTTGTGAAACCATCCTAATAAATCAACGTTATGTGAACATGGTTAAATTTTCAATTTCATCTATTCCCATCTATAAAACATATTTTGTAAATCTATGTAACGTTTTGTTTACACATGTTCAAACAACAATAAAAATGAACTAAATAATTGTGTCTGTGAACAAAATTATTTGTATCTTAATATTTTATTACACAAGGATATTTTGAATGCAAACTGGTTTTTTTGGAGTTTGTGTTTCCAGGGCCATATATGCACAACTCAGCCTTATATATATATCGAAGAATTATTTCATGGGAGAGAGAATTATCTTAGTCTAGATCAACTCATTTTACAATAAGATTTTTTGAATGGTTATCAGTTTGATTAATGAGTTTATTGTGATTTCTTTCTATCATGAAAATATTCCTAAATATTTAAATGATATCATAGATATTCTTGAGTTATTTTGATACTATACGAAACAAGAGTTTATCTCATTTTATATTTGTCAGATAAACAGATATATATTAATCACTGTAGAAACTATAATTTCAACTAGAAAAGAGGTGAATTGAGTCTTTCATCAGTAATCTTTGAGACTCAATAAAGAAACATTGCATTCCTTCAATATCTGACTTAAACTTTTAACAACAAAAATGGAAATTCAGTATGAAGATTAGTACATGCACCGTATGGTTTTACTCTGTGAGGCACAAATATTTATCGGTCATAGAAAAGCTTACCTACGAGTGCTAATTGAAACAACCTGTATAAAATATCAAGTTTTTTGTTAAATATTTGTTGATTCAATGTGATATAGGCAAGCATTTATTCTGTTGAGTATTTCATTGATATACGAAGAGAAGTATATTATTTATTTTCAACTATTAATTGAGTACGAATATGCATAATTGTTTATCTTGTTTGACATAGGTGTCAAACATGCTACATGAGTTTCAATCAATTTCGTGCACTTAGTAAAAAACTTCCTCGAGTCTACTAACTTCATAATGTTTCATATAGTTGAGATCATGAGTCAATTGAAGCTAGACCACCATCGAAAACCTGGAAGCACTGGACGGTTGTTTCGTCCTATTGTTGGGCTCCTCATCAGTGCGCATCCACGATCCCGTCTCGCGAGATTCGAACCCAGGACCCATCAGTCTCGCGCGTGAGCACTTAACCTCTAGACCACTGAGCCGGTATCCAACGGTGTTAACATCTAACTTTAAATAACCCACGAAATTGAGCAACTATTCACCAATGTCTTCAGTGAGTTTATATCTCTCAACAGACCTGGTTGAACTCCAATGGTTACTGCTTCTCACTGGAACTCCAGGAAATACCTCATGAAGCTAGTCACTAGTGAGCATATGAAACTGCCGTCCAGTACTTCCAGGTTTTCCATGATGGTCTAGCTCCAATTGACTCATGATCTCAACTATATAAAATTACTAAAATCTTCACAAAACCCCTCTACACATAATATCTCATTAATTCAAATAAATAACTCATCTATATTTCACTTGAAAACTACAGTTAAGTTTCAAATTTGTATACACAAAATAATTATGTTATAAAATAGTTTCATACTCAATAAATTTCCAGTAAAATAATATTGTTCTTTATTTGAAATTGAATTTAGACTATTTTAATCAGTTATCAGTCCATTTCTATGCATCAAAATTTCATCGTGAAATTGTTTTCAAAACAAAATATTCTTAAACTTATCAGTTGTGTTTTCATTTTCTAATATTGTATATAGTAAATATGAAGTTATATGGAACTACTTCTGTTGTATAAATTTATTTCAATGAAATGGTTTTATGTATATTGAATATGATCTTATTTTGTTTTTCTATTGAGATATAGAAAATGTATTATTGGAGAATGAAATTGAATGAATGTAATACAAATAGTCTTTAACCTCTGTTAAAGATTTAATTAAAGCAAAATACAAGGTGCTCTCAGCTATAAACAATTCATATTTATCTTTCTCATGTTTGTCTAACTCTTTATCAACCACATAATAATATAGTTTAGTAAATTTATCAGATATACAGTTAAGGTTAAGTTTTGTTTTACCTTGACTTGCGAACAATTTTGTTACTTTATGTGGTAATAGACATATATCTTTGTTTGGCATATTCACTTTTTATATCCTCCTGAAAAGAGCTATTTTCTACATGAATTATCTATATCTGTATTCATTTTTATTTGATATCGTATAGTCACTGTTAAAAAGTAATTCAAACTCATTCTATGAATAATTTTTATGACAAACTCTCCTACCTTTGTTTTCTAGCAGTTTTGAGGACTTTAGATATGCAGATAGAATCTTTAAAAACCATGAATACTCTTTTATTTCAGTTACCATTCAGAAGGGTGATAATTTATTTACCTTATTTTCATTGTAAGTGAAAATAAGAGAAATTTAAAAGCTTAGATGTCTTCAGTAATCAAAAAAAGATTGCCATTCGTCAAGTTTAGCATCATTTATTTATTGTCTATTAAATCTATATTGTTTTTAGATACAACTGAAGTCAAAGCAGCATAAAAACATTATAATGAATAAGATTCTGGACTTAAATGTGACATTTACTGATATTGAGTCACCAAGCTATTATTATTCTTTACTACTAAAGACTTAAGATTTAGTCATTACATCCTCACAGAATGAATGTACTTTTTCGAGGTTTCAAAAAGTTATTTACCTACTTTCAAAGTTTTATTTGAAAGTGAAGATCTTCTGTATATTACTGTACAATATTCTCTGTAATAACAGAAACATTGTAGCTCAAATGAGATAAAACAGTCTAAATAATATTGCATTACAAAATATTTTCTATTTCAATAATTAACACTTTTTTGTCTTTATTTATTTATTTATTTTCCAGGCCCTTGTAGATTGCTTTGCTTTTGTACCATTTATTTGTGTGCTCATAATTGTGATTGTTCTAATTGCTTTATATTTGCCGGAAACAAAAGGATTCAATCCAGTTTATATTGAATCAGTTTTCAAAGCTCAATGTAAACATTCAGTACTCATACCGGTCAGTTGAAGTACCTTTATCCCTTAAAAAAATTTTTATATCGGAATACTAAAAGCCAAAAGTTACTTTATATTTAATATTGAAGCAGTATGAGAAATATATACATAAACAGATTGTTTATATATGTATACATTGCGAAGGGTAGTTTTGTGGAAATGTTTGTACATTTCGAAGATAGTTGTTATCATAAATTCTGGTCAGTTGATCAACTATTGACAGTCATCAAACATTCATGGCCTCTGAGAAGCTTTAAGATGGATGTTTAGAAATTCTTTTGTGCAGCTATGAACTGTAGGCTAGACAAAATTGAGAACCAGGCAATAATGTGAAACTGCATGAGGGTTGCAAAATTTCGTACATGCATATATTCGTTAATGCAAAAATCACTTAATGAGCCAGTAAGACAGTTTATTCTTATTTCCCCAACCCTCCTAATAGAAACAAGGGGAAATCGAAATTTCTAGAGAAATGGTATCATAGTTAAACAGGATTTTTCCCTTTTAATGAGTCCATAAATACTTATTCAACTTCTGTTAATTAGATTAATAACATGTGACTGAATAAAAATCTTATTTCATCTTTTTAATTGGTAATTTATTGTGTACTTAGTACCGACTGATTATTCGCATTAGTTTCGTAGTTCCATTAAATAAAAAACTCACAAAAGAAGTCTAATAGTTTTCATCATGAATAAATTAAGAACTTTCCAGGAGTTGCTTCATAAAATGCTTTTAATGAATTAAAATGTTTACTGGGGTATTGCGTAATTTGTTATCCTAAATGAAAGTAGCTTTAATTTATTTTCATTAAAAGTATTTGTCTACAGCTTTTGCATGAGTTAATATGAATTAGTCAGTTTGGTGTTTGATAACGTATTTGTAAATATTTACTTTGAAGATCAGTAATTTTGAAATTAAGTCTAGTTTTCTTCAATCACAGCTTTAATAAATTATTTTAATATCTTTCATATGAAAGAAACCTGGAAATTTATACCTGTTTTTCCACTATTACTTAGAACTAAATGTATATATCATCAGATTGTTGACAAAACCAATGAAGACTGTTAGGTTTTGAAATTATACTTGCTTAAGTTAATGACTATTCTAAGCCTTTCTGTTTAGCAATGATAGAATCAAACTATTAGCTTGAATTGTAAACGAAACTTCCAAATTTTTAATTAAATAACAGCTTAGAATTAATCTTTGGTTAGAGGTTCGTAAGAATTTCCAAGACAATGTGTATTTATGGTATAGTAATTCAATTATTTGCATCACAAACATTTGTAAACTATCTGACGGTTATTTTCTCAATAACAGTTATAAATCTACAACATACACATTGTTGTAAGTGAAATTATTTTACCCATTAATCCATTTTATTAAAATAAAACCATCTGCTATACATACATGGTTATTACTCACGGAGTAGTAATCCGTATATTGGTCAAATTCCATCAGTTACGTCACAATATGGTGACCAGCGCATGTGACTTAGAATTACGTTCACTGTATTTGGATATTAGATGCTGAGGGGAAACGGATATGAAGCTCTGGGCTTTTGCTTCGATTTAGTTCGCATTTATCAGCAAGATATATCTGTAATTTTTAGGTGAGTTGATTAGACTGATGATTATACCAAAATCTCAATCGATAGAAAGACATGAAACTGGTTACTCTAAAGAGATCATAAAGCTTAAATATTCAAGTCAGATAGGAGGTCACTCGTTATGCAAACAGTTCAGTAGTGATGTCAGTGACTGTGAAAATTGACCTCTTGCCTCCTGATTTCGAAGTAAGACCATTGTGTACGGATGTTTCATCAAAAAAAATGAATATCGTACTAATTTTTTGAATAGTTGAAATATAACTGCGTCGAAATCACTATAATCTGAAAGTCAAAATAATTTTCTATACACTTCAATAGAATTCACATTATTGGTATGAGTAAATGAAGCATTAATTTGTACATTGGTTGTATTAAGCATACCTTTCTCTTGTCAAGTGATCAAGAGTGATTCTTATGGTATATGCTTAATTATAGAGTGCGATAGTGCAGAAATTGGTATTCTGTGTCTACATGTCTTAATCTAGGTAAAGATATTGAAAATGCTATGATACATTGCTGTACAGCTATATGTATATACATCCCATTATATTGAATAAAAAATTCATTTTGTCCCAGATTGGGTAGTTTTGTTGAAGCCCAAATATCAGACTTGATCAATTATTAATGTTTTTGTCTTGACAAATTTTAATGTTCATTTGTATTTACAATATGTTGAAAATACTACTGGTTCTTAAACTAAACTAAAACCAAAATGATTCAGATAATATATATATATATATTTTAAATACGCCTTCATTTAGCTGATCTTCCTATTCGTTTTTTTTCTTTGACACTTTATCTCATTTCGAAGTTGTTGTTTTTTACGTCATGCTGTGATATAATCATTCAGATAGTCAGTATTTAGTACTGATCAATACTGAATAAACTATCATGTCACACCTTAATTTTCCATTCTCTTTGTTTTGTTGGTAATAAGAAAATTTCTTTTTTCAGTTTGTTTCAAATATTATTAAATCGAGTAAATTTAAACTGAAATTTGTTATTTAAAAAAACAATCTTCAATAGCTAATTTCATTTTATATTCTATTGTTAGTTGTTTATAATTTTATACTTGAACAACAGAATACAGAATTAAATTGTTATCAATATCCTAAATCATCATGTATAAAGTAGAAAACTTTTAAAATTCTGTTCCTTATGATTTCATTTAGTCTATTCATATATTTGATAAAAGAGGAAATTAACTTATAAGTAATGTATTGATCAATTAGTTATTTTATACGACCTATACTTATACACTCATTAGATGTGCAACATGAAATGCAAAATTCATTTTATTGTTATTACAATTTGAATGAGATATGTACATATTAATGGTAGAATACAAGTTACAATGTTGTATATTCTGCAATTATCTATTGAGTAAAATTCTCATTAAAACCTTGAAATGTAGTTAAATATAACTGTTATATCTCGAATTTAGATTCTTAGTATGTCGCGTAATACTTGAGAACTCGAACGCTAGGACCCTCCTAAGTCGCAAAATGAAAAGACAGAAGACTAGTAAGTAGGAGTGTATTCCCCAACACAGTGTCAAATTCAGTACAGAAATCTTATGTATTTATAGTTTTTCGGCTGAAATTTAATCATCATTTCGGACAGCCAAGAAGCACATAGGAAGGCCTTCTTATTCATCCAATGGGGGAGCTACACGTTGACATTCTAAGATATTCCTCTAGCGGTGATTGGATGGAATGTCTTAGGCTTTTTCTGGGCTTCTTGAGGTTTCCTTGAGTTTGCCAACGAGCCATCCTTACAATAACACAGTTGAATTTAATTTTATCTGTATATATGTTTAGTGATAATTTGCAATAAACACTGTATAAACATAATGAAATTTCATCTTATATATTATCACTACTTATATCTAATCTATATATAGTTATATGTAGTTTAATTAAGTGTTTCTTTTGAATTATTATTATTATTAGCTTTATTCAGTATTATATTTTTGGTACAATATAGAATTCTCAGCACAAGGTACTTCAACAAGTTTCCGTTTATTACATCTTCGTCCTTCCTGACGATAAATATTGAGTGATCGCCAGTTAGAAGTTAGCAGCCCAGTCAATCGACATCTGGATAATGTATATTCTTCTCGCTGCATATTGCCAGCAACCACGATATCTCTGATTATGCCTTCTGTAACCTTTACAGCGAAAGGTCTTACACTTTTCAGAAACGCACCTGAATAGGTTGTGCGATTAATAGGCATGATGATGTATTAAAACAAACGAAATTAGATAACTTGTTGAAATATCTAGAAGACAGGAACAGGTAGCCCAGATGTTTAAACAGGCCGCCAGTACCAGAATAGATTTTCCAATGGAAACATTTTAAAATTAATCATAAAATAAATAAATTTTATTAGACAAATTGTGATTAAATTAACAATATAAGTTATTTAATTGATAAAATTATAAATATTTGAATATATATATAACTTTGTCTATAATTTTAGAATAATTCAATTTTCACATCGTTAATAATTAATGGATTAAATAAGACAGAGTTTTTAAATGAAATATAAATATTTACATAATTATCTCTATGCTCTGTTGTTTATGATAAATATCTTATGATTTCAGTTAAGTTAATTTGACAATTTACTTAATCAGAAGGGATTTTGTGGAGATTTAGTATTTTTCATAGTTGAAAGCGTGAATCAACTGAAGCTAGACCACCAAGGAAAACCTGGAAGCACTGGACGGTCGTTTCGTCTTATTGTGAGATGCCGGCTCAATGGTCTATCGGCTAAGTGTTCTGGCGTGAGACTGGTAGGTCCTGGGTTCGAATCTTGCGAGGTGAGGTCATGGATGTGCACTACTGAGAATTCCCACAATAGGACGAAACGGCCGTCCAGTGCTTCTAGGTTTTCCATGGTGGTATAGCTAAAATTGACTCACGCTTTCAATTTATTTAATATTCATTCTAAACAATAATAATTGTTTCTATATATATACATATATTCCTTTTCCTTGCTTTTTTTTCTTCATTTAGGTAAAACGATTTTAATCATCCATTCAAATGATATAAATCATTGCAGTACTATCATTAAATTACATTTTAAATATTTTATTTTATAATAAAAAATAATCAATAAAATTATCCGGTTGATTAATGATTTTTTTGATTTATATTAATTACACTTTTTAATGATTAAAAAGTAAATTATGATTGTTTATAATAGATATATAATTAATTGATTGTTTTGTTTGTTTTGTTTGTTTTTTAAAAATCATTTATTCATATTATCTACATTTTGTTGATTAAATCTGATAAAGAAATTAAATGATTTAAAGTTGTTTTTTTCCTATTATTGATTATTATATTATACTCATATAGATACATTGATAATTATGAATGATACATTTAAAAAAAAGAAGAAATTTGTTACCTATTGATTATATTCATTTTGTTTAATCAATTGATTGAACTTAACTCTAAGAAAATAGATCAAATTAAATCGAATATTCATTGATTATTAATAAATTATAATGATGAGGTGTTTTAGGGGGGGTATAATTTAATAAAATATAAGTTTTCTTTTTTTTTTTTAAAAAAAAATAAAATTTTCTTATGACTTCTTCCAATAGATGAAATAAACATTTCATTGAAATAGATTTTAATTAAGGTTACAAATGAATTTAAGCTAAGTCTGTTAAGAGTTTCTAATTCTTTCACATTTTATAACAATCTTATTCATGTATAAAATGTAGTAACTATTATTATATCTATCATAATCATTGTGTTATATCGAGTAAATGCATGTGCTGTTTGATATATGAACGTGATGATTCCCGCCAATTAGAGTGCAGTGAATTTATTGATCGCTCAATGATACACAAAGACGTATGAGCACTCTTGAGTACTTATCAGTTCTGCTTTTCTGCTTAGCCCAGCCAGTTAAATCCAGAACACCAATAACAGCCTCTGCAATATGAATCATTATTGTCAAACATACTGGGTTTATATACCAATCAAGTAGATCACATCGTACTATAAATAGGAAATAATATTTCTACAAGATTTAGCCAAATGTGGCTGTGAATAAGGGAACAGTAATTAATAGACTGGGTATAACTCAGGAATGGTAAATCGTACAGTTATAGTCTATGAATCAAAATAAAGCTCATGATATGGGGAACATTAATATGAATACTTAAGTTACTTAACAATTATACAATAGAAAATATACATATCATATTGGTCCACAAATAGTTCTCAAAGTTACCATTCATAATTCTCCACGGGATACAACATATTCTCTATATACGTGTCTTTGTTAGAATTATTATTTAAAGTATTAAAACAAACTAAGCTTTTAAAAAACTTCTAAGTGGGAAATTTTATTTTTTCATGCAATGACTGAGTGAAAAATGGACTAGATCTTTTCATTTGTTTTGCCATTAGGGATGTTTTCGTATAAGAGTTTATGGAGGTTGTTGAATCTTTAAAGTTTGCATCATGGATAACTTTTAGTTGGACTACCATGGAAAGTCACAATGTAATGAACAACTGTTTCGTTCTAGTACGGGACTTCTCAGCAGTGGATATACAGCACCACACCACGGTTGACCAAACCCAGAACCTTCAGGTTTCAAACTAAGCACTTAAACTTTATTCAGCTGAATCTCGACCATTGGTATGCATATCTAACTTCAGTCATTTTAAGATATTACACAACCCCTTTCTATTGTCTTCGACGGGTAAGTTCCTCACACTAAACATGATTGAGCTCCATTGTTTACGGGTTCTTACTAGAATTCTTGAGATAATACCTTGATATCAATCCCTAATAATAATCATTCTAGTCCACTGATTTCTGATTTTTAATAGTTGTTTTACCAAAACCAGTCTGTGATGTAACTTATGAAGAGATGTAATTTAATCTGGAATCAAGTGAAAGTATGTTCATTTTTATAAATAATTAACCATGCGTCTGTGAAACCTTTTCACAGAAACATACACTAGCTTTTCAAAAACAAACTTTCAGAAATTCAAGAAGTCATTTATCTACAGGATATTCCAATCCACTGAACTAGTTATCAAAAACATTTTCATGTAAACAGATAAATATTATTATTTTATCAAGACTTTTTTTCGTTTTTTATCGACTTTGATGTACAATATTTCTATGATGTCGAGTATGTAAAGTGAATTTAAATTATATAGTTTTAGATAACTTCCTGGTAAATTTTCACTTATATAGTCAAAATTGAAAGTTCATTACACATGGACATAATTTTGGTTAAGAACCCTCAGCAATACATATCACTGTGTCAGTATGCAGTTACATTGTAAACGTGAAGTAGATGTTACATAAAAGCTGTTGAAATCTACTTGTTGTGGTCTTCTGACTTTACATATCTTATGGTTAACCACCATCCAAGGATGTCAGCAGCTAGACTATAGTTCAGTTTTAGATTGATAATAGGCTTGATGTAATACATGAGCATCATAGTTTTTAGAAATTCCGCATTAGCTCTTCTAGGGCTGCTTCCAGTCCCAAGACCGGTAAAAGAGAAGGTTTGGATTTAGGGTCAGCAACCTCATTCAATAGAAAACAACCTTGCTAAGAAAATGTTAACCATAGTAAGTATAGTTTTTAGCATGTGATTTACTATGAATTTACATTACTTTAGAAATGAAATCTGAAATAAAGCAATTAACCAATAGAAAGAGTTTTCATTATTTTTCAAATAAGCATCCCAAAGTTACTCGACTAAATTCTTTATTTAGTTTGCACGAATACTTGTGATATCACAAGCCAAAAAGTGTTTGAGATGCCTTATAAGCTTTCTTCTGACAACATAATAACTACCAGTAAGTAGTTCCGTTTACTTGACAATATCATCCTATACAGAAAACCTATACGGACGATACTAATAACAGTATAGCTTTATTATGTTATTCTATAGAATAACAGGTAGAGAATATATTCTATTTAAACTCAGGTAGTAAGATAATTAATGTATCACTTTAACATGATTGTTGAAAACTTTTTCTCCTTTTAGAAAAACAGTTTTCATCCAAGTGGGCATTGAAAATTTGTCTAGATATGGCATATAAAATGCTTATCTTTTTGAAAAAGTTAATGAAGTTTCGTAGGAATTTCTACAGGGATATTTTAGTGAATAGTTTTAATTTGATATATGGAATTTTTACAATAAGAAAATCAAATAATTTTTAGCCTAAATGCCAGAATAAAGTTCTTACACTTTTAAAGATTAGTTGTAATAATCGAAACTTCTGCATATTATACGAATTTATATCCACTCAAGTAGAACTGGTTAGTTCTAGTAGGGGGAGGGGCAATGTGTTTTATTTCCATAGTTAGAAAGTCTAATTTTGTCTACTGTTCTTGTAGTTTTTTGTAATTTTGTAGAAAAAATTGATTTGTATTTTGGATCAAATAATGTCAGTCACTAAGCTAAACATAAAGTAGAAAATGGTACTTGTGTATATCGGTCCAAGTTACCATGACCCAGTGTAGTCCATCATATGAATTCCGTATGATGTTAATGATCTTCTCAGGTACACCGTAGTGTCGAAGAAAGTTCCATAATGTTCTCCTGTCCACACTGTCATACGCTTTCTCATAGTCAAGGGAGTTGATGTATAGTGACGAGTTCCACTCAATTGACAGTTCAATGATGATCCGTAGTGTCTCGATTTAGTCTGTGCACGACTAACCTTTACGGAATCCGACCTGTTGATCTGGGAGTTGGACGTCTACTGCGTATCATCTAGTTCAGTAATACACTGTTGAGAACTTTCCCTGGTACTGATAGTAGTGTGATGCCTCTGTAGTTCTCGCATTTGCTCATCATTTATTACAAGCATACTCGGCTTATATACCAGACAGACAAACAGACCGCATCACACCATAAAATAGAAAATAATATTTGTACAAGGAATATTGTTCCGCCTATAACCATTTTGTTGAATGTACATAAATTTTGCAAATCTGTCACCATTCTCGTTCCTTTATTCCAGCCCCCAGTCCATGTCGTCCCATGATATCTTCATATGCGGTGTTGTTCATTCCGACTTTAGCATTTAGGTCTCCTATCAGGATGGTCAGGTCGTTTCCTGATCATTTCGCTGTGATTGATTGCAGCCTCTCGTAAAACTGATGTTTATCCTCTTCATTGTTATCATTGGTGGGAGCATGACACCGGACGATATTCATTGTAATTCCCTCCTTTGTTTTGAAGGGTTCTGTTTTGTTCCTGGAACCATGATATTACCGTCGTATAAGTGCTTTACATGTTTTTTGGACAGCATCAGTGCAACTCTCTGTATGTGTCAAGCATCTTCTTTATGTTCAGAAGACAACAGACTCTCTCCCGCAGTTAATCTTTTCTGTCCAGCTTGTATTCAATGAGTTTCACTGGTTCCGAGCACCATCAATTTGTATCTCCCTATTTTCGTAGCTATTTGATTGGTCCTCCCAGTCTCTCCTATATTGTCTGGACATTCCATGTACCTATATTTGTTGTTTCTCTGATTGTTAGAAGGGGCGTTGGCCTCTTGACTTCCGGAGAATATGAGCTTTCACCATGTTCTGAATGAAGATCCTTAAGCTCTCAGGAGAGAGTCCAAATGGTTTAATTTATTGATCCTGGTTAGTGTTTTTAATTAGTGTTGTTTTCTACGGGATCCAACCCTCCTTCTTTCCCTTGTCTTGGAACCGGCAGTAACTCTAGAACAGCTACATACGAAGTTTCAATTCTTCACGGTATGCTAAAATAATTTATACCGAACATATGGTTTATAAAATTCATTTTGAGGTGGAAGTTTAGTAATAAACACATTTGAATTTAACTGAAATAGTGATATTGAACTAAATAGAAAGAAACAAAATTTCAAAATATCTTGGATCTTATTATTCAATTATTATTTCGTTATGTCCTTGTCTGGTATCAACTTTTATAGCTGCTTATTAATGTAATGTAAAGAAAGTCCTATACCCAATTCACTTAAAATAAAATAGATAACTATTATATCTT